GGTCCCCTTCTTTTAAAGGCTTTGATTATATGAAGCTGAACTCAGTCTATATTTCGTATTTTTCACTTCAAAAAAATCTTTTTTCCAATTGACTTAACATGGGCACCAAATTTAGCGATTTTTGAGTTTTCAAAACGCCATAACTTCCGAACCGGAAGTCGGATCGAAATTTGGTTTGCAGATTCGGATTCCTGACAAAATTCTACCCTTAATTTATAACTCATACGTTAAACTTGGAGAACTTTTTATTTTGACCTACTTTTCGGACACCATATCTCAAAAGTGGGTCAAAATACTTTCTGACGGCAAAAGGCTAACACTATTAGCACACTCTTGGCTACATGTATACACAATTTCGAAGAATATAATTGAAGTGTAGTGTCAGAATCGCAAAAATAAGGAAAAACTTTGAATTTGACCTAGATTTTGACCTAGGCCCTGGACTGGATTTAAACCTAGACTTGACTTGGACCTGGACAAACACTGGACTTGGACCTGGACTGGACCTTGACTTGGACCTGGAAATGGACTGGACTGGTATTTTTTCAATTTTTCTTCACTTTTCTTGACATTCTATAAGGGTACCATCAGATCGATTTTTCTCGAACTTTCAAAACGTCATAACTCCTGAACCGGAAGTCGGATTTCAATTCTGTTTTCAGATTCGGAATCTTGAGAAAATTCTACCCCTAATTCATAACTCATACATTGAATTTGGAGCACGTTTTGGTGTGACCTACTTTCCGGACGCCATATTTTAAAATCGGTAAGAGTAATCAAAAAACGGATGGCACACTTATGAAAGGTCTGTTTCTAAGCTACATGATGAAAAAAAGATGAAGACGTTTCGATAAATAACGACGAAGATAATAGACAGAAAGTTGAAAATGTAAGATTTGACCTAGTTCTTGACCTTTGACCTAGATAAAAAATTGACCCAATTTCCCAGAAACTAGATACTGGACCTAAATTGACCATATACAGGACTTGACTCAATGTCTTCTAGTTAAGGAGAAAACGAGGGAAGAATAATAACTAGATTTTGGAAATTGAACGAGTTCAATTTCAGACTCCAGATCTAGACTTTTTTTGGCCGAGTCTTCCAGAATAAGCCAAGTCATCCAAAATAAGCTAAGTCATCCAGAAAAGGATGAATGGATGGATGGATGAAAAAGGAAGGAAGGATAGGATAGAATAGGAAGGAACTATAGGATAGAATAGGAAAGAATGATATAATAGAATAGGAAGAAGGGATAGAATAGGAAGGATAGGAAGGAGAGGATACGAAGCAAGGGTAGATAGGAAGGATAGGATAGGATCAGAAAGGAAGGATGGATGCATTTTTCAATATTTTCTTCTCTACTCTTGACTTTCTATCAGGATACCATCAGATCGATTTTTCTTGAAATTTCAAAACGTCATAACTTCCGAACCGGAAGTCGGATCGAAATTTGATTTGCAGATTCGGATTCCTGACAAAATTCTACCCCTAATTCATAACTCATACGTTAAATTTGGCGAATTTTTATTTTGACCTACTTTTCGGACACGCCATAACTTCGGAACCGGAAGTCGAATTGAAATTTGGTTTGCAGATTCGGATTTCTGAGAAGATTCTATTCTTAATTCATAACTCAAACGTTAAATTTGGAGAACTTTTTATTTTGACCTACTTTTCGGACACCATATCTCAAAAGTGGGTCAAAATACTTTCTGACGGCAAAAGGCTAACACTATTAGCGTACTCTTGGCTACATGTATACAAAATTTCGAAGAATATAATTAATCTGTAGTGTCAGAATCGCAAAAATAAGGAAAAACTTTAAATTTGACCTAGATTTTGACCTAGGCATTTTGGTGTCCAAATTTTGAAGCTAAATGGCTTTTGAGGTCCCATTCTTTTAAAAGCTTTCATTATATTTAGCTAAACTCAGTCTATATTTCATATTTTTTACTTCAAAAAAATATTTTTTCCCATTGACTTAACATGGGCACCAAATTTAGCGATTTTTGAGCTTTCAAAACGCCATAACTTCTGAACCGGAAGTCCGATCTAAATTTGGTTTTCAGATTCGGAATCCTGAGAAAATTTCCTATATGACTAATATCCTGGACATTTGATTCGGAGAACTTTTTTTTGGACCTTGTTTTCGGACACTGATATCTCGAAATCGGTTTGAGATATCAAAAAACTAAATCGACCCTAGGTTTTCTACTTTTTTATAAGGAACACAATGAAAAAAAAACGGATCGAAAATATTGAAGGACGACCGAGAAAATCCAAAAAAGTGACAAAGTACTGGATTTGACCTAGTTCTTGACCTTTGACCTAGCTAAAAATTTGACCCAATTTCCGAGGAACTAGATTCTGGACCTAAATTGACCAAATGACTGACTTTACTGAAAACCTTATGGTTATTGAGAAAACTGGGTTGGAATAAGAATAATAATAATAAGAAGAAGAATAATAAGAATAAGAAAACTGACGAAAACAATAGACTCCAGATTTCATCTGGAGTCTAATAATAATAATAAAGAAGAAGAATACTGGCAAAAACAATAGACTCCAGATTGATATCTGGAGTCTAATAATATGTTATGCTGTGATCTCCCAAGTATTAGAGCTTCATGCACCCTATTGAATGTTTGAAAATTACATGGTGCCCTTTTTGCACTAGTGTTGTTGCAATGTACCATAATCGTACATTGATGCATTGGGAATTTTCAGGAGTAAACATCAATGCACATCGTTTTGTTTTAGGCACTCCCAGAATCACTTTTGGTCATGTACCTAGGCAGACATATATCAATGTCCCCATAGTATGTGCCATATATCATTTTAAAATGTATCCAAAGTTACATGCCAAGTATCATGGTTCAACTCACAAATAGTAAAAACTAGGGAAAAATTACAGGCATTTCAAAATTTAATGTTTGGCCAAAATTAAAGTTCAGTTTTAGACCAAATTAATAGCCGGTGTGTCTCCCTAGGCCATGTGAACAGCACCATTTCTTTTCAGATATGACCTGAGACACGCTCCAATCAGGGGTGTAGCATTTTGTAAACCTCATAAATCCTTTTTGAGGCATTTTAGAAGAGTTTCCTTGGAATATCTGCCCTCATTGTCCTCTTTTTCCAACTCAATATCCATCCTATCTTTGACGATAGCATCCATATTTTCGATAACATTCAGGTCAGAGCTGTTTCCAGGATACTGATGGGAACTTTGATTTTAGCCATACACTAAGTTTTAATATACCTGTAACTTTTTACTATTTGTGAGTTGAACCATGATACTTGGCAAATCAATGTTAATTTGAAAAATCTTTAAGATACATACTATGGTGACATTGGTATATATCTGCCTAGGAGGTCCCATACGTTCGGGACACCCTGAACATCGCAATGTAATCATTAAATGCGACAACACTAGTTTGCACCATTTCTAAAGGATGAAATATTCAGATATTTTGACCAAAACAGGTAAATCATTCAGAAAAAATCCTAGGGAGTTCACTCTGTTGCTTTGATTGGTTTGTTCACATTTCTCTGATATAAAATGAGTATTTTCTTTGATCAGTGCAGTCAAAGTGTCTCTTTCTTCACTAATCTGGGTCATTACATCATTCATCTTTCTTCTAACCAATTCTTCTATCCCAGTGCATTGGTCTTGTGCACCTGTTTTTCAGGAAAATAATGAATTAATACAAAATCGCGGTTAATATACAGTACACAGTAGAGCACGTAATTGTCCAATACATTGGTGAGATAAATAATCTAAAAATATAAAATGTATACATTTATTATTTATCATAAAAGTCTGACATCTTATATTCATATATGTGACTATAGTTACCTTTAAAGAATCCTCCTATGGCCATTCCACCAATTAAACATACTCCTATGAGGATTGCAATCAGAATGGCTGCTACAACAATCATCAATATCCTCCTACATGGGGACTGCTTCTTTGGCTTTGTGGAAATGTCGTTAAAGTACACATTTTTACTAGTATTAAGTGCAGATTCACCAGCTATAGTATCATAGACAGTGTTATCTTCACCGTTTGGTTGGTTCATAGTTGTTGCAACATTCATTTCATTTGGCCACTCATACATTGCAGGTTTTGCTCTATCTATACTCCACAATGCTCTGCTCTTTATAAAATGCATCCATTCAATAAATTTTTTTTATTATTGTATTCATGATAAAATACACCAAGCATTAAAATTCCTATAAATGGTATTTAAATTTTGGATTCAGTACATTAACTGTCATATAAAAGGATAATACATTAAATACATAGTGTGTATAAAAATTGAGAATCTTTTGTGATTGGTGAAGCACTGCTGTATTACTTCCTTGTATGACTAAGTCCATCTCTAGTATTATGGCAAATGTGTTTGATTTTTTCATTTGAAATTTATTGGCAAAAATGTAGTTTGAGGTATATGCACATAGGTGTACAGTAAAACCTCAATCTGAATACCCCTCTGACATTTATTCTATAAGTTCTCATATTCTAATGTGCTCATTTCATAATGCTCTCATGGAGCAAGCCCTTACCGGTATATGATTTACTGCTTCCTAAGCAAGGCTGTAAATAAGAATTGAGTTGGTATTGGTCCAAATGACCAGCAGTTTAAGCTTAGTGTTGGCCAGATTTTCAAGCAAATGGTCCAATGACGAGTAGTTTCAAAAGTAAAGTTCAATGTAAAAACTGATTAAATAATGAAAATAAATTGTTGTTGACAATCATAAATGACCATTAAATGTTGATCTTTCAGTCAAAAGGGGTCAGTATGAGGAGTACACATACTTGTCTAACATGTATTTACAGCCCCATTCCTAAGATCATAATCACGAATAATTTCTGTGTTTGTTTTCTGAGAAAACACTGGAAACAACAGTTTAATTAACTTTATTAATGTGTCCCAATTCTTTTCTATTCATATGTAACTAGTTTTGTTTTTAATTTCAGTTGCATAAAGAAATTCCACAGGGTTAGTTTACCATTCAGCGAACAAATACATTTCCTCTTGTATAATTAACACCAGTTAAATGTTTTGGAAAGTTTGTTCCACAAGGGTCATGCGTTGGCCAGTTTGCACTTAGACTTGTATCAAAGTAGTAAACATTAGATTGCTGTTCAAGAGATGGGCCATATTTGTGCAATGTTATCTTGTTAGGGACCACTGTCGTACATTCAGCAGAAGCAACAACTTTCACCATTCTGCAATTCAATGATCCAAATCTCCAATCCACAAAGCTCCCACCAACCGGGGTGCATGCGATCCATTGGTTGATGTTTGACTTAATCATGAATTCGTTTCCAATTTGTTTCCATTTTGCAAACTCAAGTGCTCCCAATTGTGTCTCGGATAGAGGTGGTGTTGTAGAGACTGGGGTGCATGACGCTTTATACCCAGTATCATCCCAGGATGGTCGTGGGGTGACTGCATTGTCATGACTGGTAAAACTTGCGTAATTTGTAAATGTATATGTCCATACTAATGTCCATCCACCATCATCAGTCTCCATATCACAATAGAGCTGGTAAACCACCCCAGAGCTACCAAGTGTCATCCAATACACTCCTGATGGTACAATCTCAGGCAAACGCTTTCTTTGAATATCCAAGCAAGTTAACCCAGGTAGGAGTGGTCCTTCCCCGTACTTTCCTGAAAAATGCAATTAAAATGACATATTTCTTATTCTACGTATAGCCTTTTTATTTGTAACTGGAGTTATTCCTCGATGGTCAGCTTATGGCATTGATATACTAATGTGAGAATGTTAACTTGACTTAAAATCAAACTCTGGTCAGTGATTAGCCATAGGCATTAGACATCTTGGTATTTTAGGCAATTCACTTTTCACTTTGTAATATTCAGTGCAAACAGGTGGTGGTATTTTTTCATGTTAATGTTAGTTTAAACGTCTGTAACTGAAAATGAAGTTTTTTCAAAGTCTCATGGTTAAAGAGGTTCCAAATTCATACTACTCTGTCTCCTTACTGATTTGCCATTACCTGGTACTGCTGCCAGCTGACATTTATCAGAGATGTTCTTCATCTTTTCATTTAAACCACTGAGATCTTCCTTTAGTTCTGCTGCCACCAATGTTGCATTACACATTTCTAAAATAAGAATTAATCAGTGGAAGTCTATCAGTTTTATATCACAAAAAACATGCTTCAATATATACATGTAAAAATTAGATGAGCAATTATGAATAACAATCAAATACAGAAATATGAACCTTTGGAAGGGACTCCATCGCCACCATTACAATCCAGCTGTTTTTTCAGCTCAGTCATATCGTCAATCAATTCAAGGACATTGTCTCTCACATTGGATTCCCCATCTCGTAGACTGGACACCCCATCTCGAAGGTTTGACACATCATCCCTCAAATTAGACACCTCATCTCTTATGCTGTTCAAATCATCCTTCAGGTCATCCTTCAGTGCATTAACTGCATTTTGAAGGCTCAGAAGATTAGCTTTTGTGACTCCCTGTCCAGTTCCACCTGGCTTCTTTTGAACTGCCTCAATTGAGATACAAGTGAGGCAAAATATTGCCCATCCTAACACAGTCCCACCATTCATGTTTAGAATGATTTGGAAAATTGTTGTTTACTTTTAAAAAGTTAAAGATTTATGATTTTAGTAGTGGCATTGTGCAATAAAAGCAACATGTTGGCAATTACGCTTTGTTTTAACAGACATTACAAAATGTGTTTCAAAAAACTTAAATATATATCGACATAACCATTTTTCATTTGAAACTTAAATCTTTATTCACACTAGTGTTGAAATGGCAAAATGTTACTGATTTCTAGTCATACTATTAGCACACAAATCGTTAATTTAATAAGAATAAATATAATGCTACAGGTTATTTCTGGAATTGTATCAATGATATGAAAACAAACATACATACCTAATAAAGACTAGGTCTAAAATGTCACTCGACTTTTTTGTGATTATGAGTCAAAGAAAGCATTCTTGAGTTTCAAATTGACTTCTGTGGTAACTTGAAACCGTCTTCTAATTTATTCCACTTACCTTTTATTGTTTCTCCAAATATATTCTTTGAAAATCGTATTTTAAGGGTGTTAATCAGGGTAATTCTGTGCCATTTTATCAAAAATCTTGTTGCTATCTAGAAACGAGCAATTGTGATCTTGTTGTTACCTAGGAACGAGCAACTGTGATGTCACGTCACACTCATGTTAATTCTGGAATCACATGGCAGCCATTTTGGAAATTTCAAAAAAGTTCCCAATTAAAAAGGCTAAATGCTGTTTACAAATTGGAAACTATGGCAGAATCAACAAAGGGTTTGTGAAATAATTAGGATATGGTTTCAAAATTATGCTCAGGACAATATATTACTATTAAATGCAGGCTGGGACTTTTAATTGCAAAAAAGTCGAGTGACATTTTAGCTGGCGAAGAACTTAGGTACATTACACAATTATGGAATTGTGAGATTTTCTTGGTATTTTTAAGAAAGATATTTTGTTCCCTATAACTAAGTTTCTATACAAGATATAGTATTGTATTATGTATATTATATGATATATGATGTATTGTATTATGTATTGTGATATGGTGAACCATTAGTATAGTTGTCCCAGTTGAAACAAAGAATTTCATTATGTTTTAGTGAGCCTGGCACATATAACTAAGACAATCAAGAAAGGAGTGGAACTTGTCTTACAATGGGCTATGGACAGGGGCTCAAGGTATGTGGCATACAATTCCATAAATATTGTTTTGTTTGAATATTTTTCTCACATATTTTTTATTTTATTTGTAATTAGGATCTCAGAGATTTTTGATGCGACTGAAGAACCTTTGTTGATTTTCTTGGTTTTTGAAAGTAAGAGCAGTAGATTACTACAGACTGTCATGTCTGCATGGTCTGTCTTCAATGCGTTCGATGTTCTAACAGATGGTAGCTGAGTAAATGAAGATGGCAGATAATTGCACAGTTTTCTTTTCCCAAAACTGTTACGGAGTGATTGTTCCTTGATTTCAAAAACTGATTTTAGCAGAAACTTAATTTTTATCTATTTTACTCTAGGGGTGTATGCATATCAGGGCATTCTGCAGGAGGTCAGCTGGTGGCAATGATGCTTTCTCTTAACTGGAACAAAAAGTTTAATGGGATCTTAAAAGGTAACTAAGGGTACATTGTTCTTGGGGGACTTCACCTGTAATGTTCTGGGCCTGAATATCTCATTATAGATCCTCATCGAGGTTTCATTAGGAGGGAGCTCTGATTATAACTGAGGGATTCAAATCTTTCAGGGGACCTATTTTGCTAAAATGCCAATTTCGATTTTAAAAATGTCAATTTTGATGCAAATAAAAAGCTTTACCATAACAATTCTCAAATAACATTATTTTGCAAGAGAAGGAAGGTCAAAAGTTGTTTGAGGGAAGGCAGTCAGAGCCCATCTCTGGCTATGGTCATGTATCATACATACGTATATGCATATGTTATGGAAGTGATGAAAACATTTTGTGAAGATACACATACATACTGCCATCTTTATATTGATCCACTAGCTAAATAATTCTGTCGTGCTCTCATCTAATGCCCTATACATAGTATGTATAGGGTGTTTCAAGAAGCAAAAAGTATTGAAAATGGTAAATGTTGATTAGGAAAACAGTATCTTGAGCATTCATATCTGGTTGTCAAGCCCAAAAGATTTTTTATTCCATAGTTATAGTTAGGCTATATTTTCCAGAAAATGTTCTGACAAAATTCTGATATAATTTTAAAAATTCTGCCCCTGCTTTCTGTGAATTTTAAGTTACTTTTATAATACTAAAGAGATGTTGTTTAAAATATGTACAGGTCTTGTTTTACTTTTTTTACATTTGAAATAAATAAACAAATAACAAGCATGGATTAAAAATTTGTATTACTGTTTGTGATTTAGGTGTGGTCCCTATATCTGCTGTATTTGATGTGAGACCTGTAATAAGAATGAGCGTCAATGATGCCCTAAAAGCCACTGAGTAAGTTTTGTCTGTTTCCATGAAAATTCAAAAATGTATAACCAGGGGATGCCAAAATACTTTGTGTTATTAATATAATTAATGTCAGTGTTCCTGTACCTGGAAATGTCAGTGAATTGTAAAATAAGTAAATGTAAAGCCTGAAACTTTGAATCGGTAAATGTCATAAATTTTGTATCAGAACTGAAAAAAGTCAAAAATTGATTAGATTGTACCCAGCTGTGTATATTATCAATAAGATACAAGATACATGGACTTTTAGGGAGTCATGTGATGCAAAAATTCTGGGAAATAATGTTATTGCTTGGAAATGTCAGGGACTTCATTTTAAAAAGCTTGTAAAAACCCCCTGGGGGTTCACTATACAAAATTCCTCGGCTGAACCCTCAGATATCAATATGTTCCCATACCAATCTGTCAAATTTCAGTGTATTCCCATACCAAAAGCCATACCAAATGTTCAAATATAAGACCAATGCCATACCAAATGTCCAAATATAGGACGAATACCATACCAAATATTCTAATGTCTAAAGCCCTGGAAAGAAGGCAGATCTTTGAGGAAAATAATCCAAAACAACCTCAAATTAAGGATATGTGGAACAACTATAGACCAATGCCATACCACAAGTGAGAGGTAAAATATTTTCCATGACCATTCTCATACCAGATGGAAAAATCCGACCATTGCCATACGTCATGAAGTCATAATTTGGGGGGCCATTCTCATACCAGATCCTAAAATTTGGGTCCTGGCATAATTGCCATACCAAATGTCAAAAAAAGGTACCTCATGTGCGCCGAGGATCTCCATCTAGGTTTATATACAGTTAACCCCCCTGGTAAAAACCCTATTGTGTATACTTTCCAGATTCCAGGGTTTTATTGTCTCACCTTTTCTTTAATGTGATTACACTGACATCTTTTTACATTTGCATAATAATTCTTGCAGAGAGGAAGCCTGGCAGTACAGCCCATTGAACCATGTAGAATCTGCAGCCTTATGCAATAAAGAGGTGGAGGTGTTAGTGGTAGTAGGTGGGTCAGACAGCCCAGAGTTTATAAGGCAGAGCAAAGAGTACACTGATGTAAGTGGATCATATTGTAAGGAAGTTGATGCACATGTACATGCACATGAAAGTGTGGGAAACATTGAATTCTTGCCATGTGTAATTTTTTTAAGGAACAAGTGCTGGATTTCCTTGTTCTAAGGAAGGCTGTGGTTTTTGAATTGAACTCATGATTAAGTACTTGCATGCTATATTGTTTATGTTCTCCCTTGCTAGTGTTACCAAGGCATATGAGCCTGATTTTGAAACAACTTTAAATAAAAGGATCAATGGACATTCATTGAACTATCAAGGTCAAATAAAAAGGAAATGTTGACACATGTGCAGAACTCTATTTAGTGATATTTTCATTTCAAATATGGCGGCCAATCCGATGTCTGATGACCCTTACAAAGAATCTAGGCAGTGTGCATTTTTACCTCCTGTGAAATAACAAGTGGAATTTAGTAGTTGTTTTGTGTTTTATTATCATTCTGCATCGTAATTCTATGTGATGTGGTGTTGAAATGTCAGCAGAAATACATATCCATACGATAATCGAGTGAATCAGATAACAGATTTTTCGAAAACACGTCTCGTGCTAAGCGTGTAAAAACTTGTATTAACATGCTCAAAAGTGCCAATGTGCACATCAATGTCAAGCTAAATCAATGTTGTCTCTAAAACAGGTACCTGATCTACTCAAAACAGCTTGTCATTCACGTATACACGCTTAGCAAACACGGCGAAATGATCTGAATCTTGGAATTTCGTTCGAGAGCTAGTAATGTTTGCTCCGGTCTTCGTCATAAGTGTTCATCAGACTTCACGCATGCTCAGGAGAAAAACCATCAACCAATCACGTTTATAAATCAATTTTGCGCATGCGCCTTACACCGGTAAAGAAATTCGTATTTATAAACGAACCAATTTGAGATAACCCGATATCAGTCGGAGAAATCTGACGATCTACGAAACTCACTTCAAAAAATCAAATGCGGACTGACGCCGTATTCTACCATGTTTGGATCTAAGATTTTCAGTATAGATAAAGTATTTTATGATCTTTCGAATGAGGTAAGTCTCTAGTTCGAAAGACAATTGTATCAACTTGAACAAAAGTTGAGTTTTGACGAAAAATTTTAACATGCGCAGAAGTCCCATTTTCGTTGTACCATATTGACTGTGAGGTTCAAACCCAGAAGAAAAATATAGAAACTTATGGTCAGCAAATCTTTCGAGGCAAAACCAATTGTACTCATCATTTTGTGAGTCGATCAGTGAATTGTTATACTGGTATTCAGCTTCTGTGAGATTTCGCAAAAAGTTTGCACTGTACATAGGCTTGGGTTGTTGTTAAGTAGACGCATCAACTACAGGGTGTCCCGAAAGTATGGGGCCCCCCCTAGGCAGACATATTCCAGTGTCCTCATAGTACGTGTCATATAGCATTTTAAAGCTTATCCAAAGTTACATTGATTTGCCAAGTATCATGGTTTAACTCCCAAATGGAAAAAAGTTACAGTCATTTTAAAAGTTAGTGTTTTGTCAAAATAAAGTTCAATTATACACCACATTAATAGTCAATGAGTCCCCCCTTGGCAATGTTAACAGCAGCAATTCCTTTCAGATATGACCTTAAAAGCCCTTCAAATAGGGGTGTGGAATTTTATAACCCTCTTAAAACCTGTTAGGGCACTTTAGAAGAGTTTCCTTGGAGTTTCAACCCTCATCGTTATCTTTTTCCAACTCAATATCCATCCGATCCGAAAAGAATTGCTACTGTTAAGATGGCCCGGGAGGACACATAATCTAGTGATTTGGTGTAAAATTGAACTTAATTTTGACCAAACACCAAATTTTGAAATGCCTGTAATTTTTTCACATTTGAGAGTTGAACCATGATACTTGGCGAATCAATGTAACTTTGGATAAGCTTTAAAATGATATATGACACATACTATGACGACACTGGTATATGTCTGCCTAGGGGGGGCCCATACTTTCCGGACACGCTGTATATCACATTATTTCACAAACGAGAACCCTCTCAGCTCATTGCCACCCCTTGCTTGTTTATTTACTTTTATAGGCATTGTTGGCAAAGGGACTGCCAGCAAGGTACATGGAGCTACCAGAGATTGATCATTTTCAACTTGTAGAAAACCTTGAAGACCCACACTTTCCACTAACCAAGGTAAATCCAATATGTATCTAATAAATGTGTTTTTAATAAATGTGAAATGAATTAAGATTACTGCAGAAATAGTTTGGTTTGAAAAGCTTGTGTATTATTATAATAAATGGAATGGTTTTGCAAATCCACCCAGACTTCAAACCACATCTGAATAAAACCCTGTGTGCTCCTTAACAATAATTGTTATTTAGTTACTGAACTATATAGTACTACATTGTTACTGGTATTGAAGACAACCCATGGTTCATTTGGGCTTCATCAGCAATGGGAATTAAGCCTATATTTTTTCACAAAATTGCCTATTGTTTTGAGGAATTTTAAAATATTTTTTGCACTATTTTGATTTAATTTCTATTGTTGTACTCTATGATGTAATAATTGAAAAACTTTTGTTGTTCAGTTGCTTGAAAAGGGTTTACATAGTGTTCTGTTGAATATTATAATTTATAACAAGTTTGTCTGTTTTTCACGCCAGTTGTTAAAAATTATACTGAAATATCTGGTGGTCCTTAGCATCCATTTTAGGTGAGCTATGTTATGTATGCTATTGTATATGATTAGTTGAATCATCAGCTATTCTCTACATACACCTAAATGGACATAATTATCTTTTAAAATCTTGGATGTTATGGAGGAAACATGGTCCTATGACACCTTTATTGCAGTCAGGAGGCCTGGGCATCATTTTAGAAATCTTAATGATTTTTTTTTTCTTTTCAATATAGTTTATTTCAGTTTTTTAAAGTAAGTACAGATACAGTAGTAATAAATCAATTACAATCTTATCATATTCCATTTGTTTTTAAAAAATACATTTTTGCGTACATAAATTTCGAATTTTAGAGTTTTAACAATTCCTTCAAAATTCCGTTTTATTCCATTATTTAATTCTTGGATGTATGCTTTATAGATCACAAATGTTACAATACTAATAAAATAGTTCAAAAATGCAGTCTGGTTGTCATTTCCATTATAGCCTATTATCAACTTTCTATATGTTATTTTTAAATCTGATATATTAAAGATATATTTCCAAACATTTTGGGAGAGTGTACATGCGAAAAGCAAGTGTTTTAATGTACATACTTCTCCGCACAAACTGCAATTATATGTTTCACTTTTTTCATATAAATGTAAGTCATTTAGACTAGGAAGGATGTTGTTTATAATCTTATAGTTGAAATTAGCTATCTTCTTTTCTTTACATTTTATCTTTGTAAAAAAAAAGTTTTCCCAATTTATTTCATCGAAGGTTTCATTATTTAAGAAGCAAAATTCACGTTCCCATTTCTTTTTCATGAACCATTTTTCAGATTGCTTATTTTTCAAAATTTCATAAAAGAATTTTGATTTTTGATCTCTAATTTGGAATAAAACATTATTTGCTTTCAATCTGTAATTTGGAATGTTTGTGTATTTTGCTTTATTGACATCAATAAAACCTCTTGCAATATTCATACTTGAGTTAACTTGATAAAATTCAGAAATCCAATTTTGTTTTTCCTGTAACTTTTGAAAAATGTGGTTGATATCATTAAATGTATCCTCTATTATTAGATCCTTTACATAGACAATACCACTTTCAATCCAATTTCTAAAATACAGAGTTTTTTTGTTTACAGTAAACAAACTATTACCCCTAATAGTCTCTTGCAGGATATCACATGTTTTCATATTTTCAAGATTTTTTTTGTCTACATTTGGCATGAGCACATAATACTTGCTGATAAAAAATTGGTATTTTCTGAAAGTATTGCAAATCAAAACTATTCATTTTCAATAATACATCAAAATCATTTACAATATTATCAAAATAGAGATATGGTATTTTATTCATCATTTGTTTTTTATCATATAACCTTGGAATCCAAGCAGCTTTTAGAGCATGCAATTGAGATTCAAAGTCTATCATGTTAAGTCCACCTTTTTCTAATGAATTTATAATAATAGTTCGCCTTATTTTATCTTTTCCATCCCAAAGGAATTTATAAATTATTGTATTAACTCTTTTTACAATTTCATTATCATATTGAAGTATTGATGCTGCATAAATCAATTTTGGAAGGGCGATTGATTTTATCACTGTTATTTTTCCAATTAATGTTAAATTCCTCTTTTTCCAAGAATCTAATACTTTCTCTAATTTCGTATCCTGTTCAGCCAATTTAGCTCATAACATTTGTCTTTATCATGTCCAATAAAAATGCCAAGAGTTTTTACCGGCTCATTGCTAAATTTTATATTTGCAAAGTTATTTTCATTCACTTTACTTCTACCTAACCAAATTCCTTCAGTTTTGTCTATATAGAAATCTTAATGATAGTCATTTTCAAAAATAAATAATGATTTAATGAGTTTTTTTATACTTTCAGACAATTTTTAGAATGATGGGACTTTAATACACGAGAGAAAATCGGAGAAGATAAAACAATAATTGACACAGAAAGGAAATATCTGCATTATTAACAAATACATTCCAGACTGTGGGATGGGAAATAAGGATATTTCGACAAATTCAAGTATGTGAGAACTGTTAAAATATCAGTTTTATGTCCATGTTGCATCTTTACAAATGAAACGATTATGTTAAATTTGTTTGTAGATGAAATGAAGCTTGTACAGTTAATGTGTAATTGTAACAGGAATTAATCAGATTTTTATATGTAAATGACACAGTCACATAAATGATGTACTGTTACTTTAATGACTGACAATCGCATAATACAAGGTATGTACTATATAGGTACTGTATGTGTAAGACTTACAATCACATGACATGTACTGTATGTTTAATGACTTACAATTGCAAAGTATGTGTAGCGACTTCTATAGTGTAGAAGTTATGAAACAGTTAGACAACAAAATTACAAAGTTAAATTTTATATTTTTAATACAGTCTTTTGACATTTGATATATATTGAATTATGTGTGTAAGAAATTAATTGTAGCATTAATAATTGTGATCAATTAAAGTGATAAAACAATAGTGTAAATATAATAGCAGGATGTAAATATATCTCCACCAAACTCAATAGGAACCCAGGACACTTCAATAGATTTTACAAATACAAATACAAAATTATTAGGAATTTTGCACAAGAAACAATTTTACCTCATTGAAAAACCAGATCCAGAGTGATGGATATTGGATAATATCAGTCACAGAATCTCTCACTATAAATGGTTTTAGCTTTGACAAATTTTGTTCAATTTACACTTCGAAAGTAACATGTGTGTTATTTGTCTATGTTCACTGATATCATTTAAATGAACATGAAATATTTTATATTAAGACAGTAAAATGGCAAAACAAGCAAAAAAAGAAAATTGTAAGGTCAACAGGCAAAATTGTATACCTCGACTGTAAACCGAGAAACTACTGTTGACAGAGACCGAAGGTCGGGGTCAGCAGTACATGTAGTTTCAAGGTTTACAGTCAAGGTATATGATTTTGACTGTTGATCGAATGGCGAGGTCTACAATTGTTTTGTAATTATAAGTCAGAAAAAACTAATAATACACATATAGACGACAATCATCAATCATGGCTTCATTTCACAATTGTGGAGGGGTACAGATAAAAATGTTGACCACTAATTAACCAATCAGATGTGAGTGTTTACACTGAGGTACTAACAATATGGTATGTCAAATTATTGATGAATATAGAATATTAAAGTACATTCCATCTAAATTATGATTACACAAAATGGTGCCGTCTAGAAAATTCATGTACTGTATCTGTATTGAATTTGACTAGGAATATGATGTGATTTTGTGGTCACATTGTACATGTACCATTATTATATAAGCATAATATGATTCAAAAGAGAAATTGAGATATACCTCAGTGTTTTTTAATTTATTTTGTAAAGTCAGCTCAACAGTCAGATGTTTGTATATACAGTGTACATGTTCTCATGCCTTTTGGTATTTTTTTGATACACTACACTAGCATTTAGAATGGATGTCAGTGGTGTAAGGAGCCTTTAGTATTGAATTGTGCTTTTCTGAAATAAACAGCCAATGAGGTTGATCTTTAAAGTGCACATATCTTGATCAATCACAGCAGCACCGGATTCTATACACCACTGAGTATGCACCATATATCTTTCAATAAATAATTCAAATAACTTTATGTTGTGACAAATGAAGATGTAATTGCAGTATTGATTTAAACAAATATGTCATTACATATATTTATAGTAGTGAATGTTCATATAGACTTTATGCCAGATGATTTTGTATATTGTATACTACAAAATGTAATAAAATTACTGCTGAATAACAAATATTCTGTTTTCTTTACACAGTTAATGTATAGACGGAGGCTAATCTCTGAATATTGGAAGCTCCAGGGGCCGTGAATATGTACGATCCCCAATTCAATCCGGATAAAATTTATCTTTTGGGATAAATCTTGGATTATTAAATACAATAAATATTTGATGAATTCGTCCGATCTGAGGATTATGAGGGGGAATCCCCAAGATTTATCCAATTTGCATTTGAATTCGGATAAAATTTATCCAAAAAGTAATCCACATCAAGAGATAGATTCGATTGAGATCTCACTTCTCATATTATATTTAATTCCATACCATGTACAGTTTCTCGTGAGGAACCCTTACAGTATGTAAATTCCTTGAGAAATAAGTGCAAATGTATATTTTAGTAAAAGTCAAAGTTTTTTAGTCAAAAGCAAGTTAATTTTTCTAAAAACACGATTTTTTCTTGTTTTTTTTTATTATTGGGAATGTTGTGCTGAGATGTGTAGAATGCACCAGAGAGGGTCTAAGTTTGAAAAATTTCGGGGGCATGACCCCCCGATCCACCTAGATTGCGTCGCACGCGAAGCTTCACTCACGACCCATTCATACCCAAAAGTTGCCCCCTCCCCTGGCAAATCCTTCTGACGCCCCTGCATTAAATGTTGTATTTAACTATCAAAGTGTTTTTGACACCTTTTCAAAGCCTAATTCAGCATGTTGCCGTGTATGTATAATTCTTTTAATTACTTATACATTTAGAGTGGATATTCATCTTTCATTGCATATGAAGAAAATGTAAAGATAAAATATTGACTAATAGTGGGAGCTATTACAATGACCCCTACTTTTGGCAATTTTTAGAGCGTTTTGTCCAGTGTATTTAGTGAGGGGCCCACCTTAAATCATTGCCATTTTTGGGCTTATTACTTGAAAGCATAATGCATTTTTATGATCTAATATTAATATGACGAATCGATTGCAATATGATAGAACGCTTATTATACCTAGTTAGGATTCATTTTGTATATAAATTTAAAACAATTTGGGGAATCCACAAAGAGTTGGGAGGCTTCTCCAAATATATCGTTGTTACGAAAATGACGTCACATTACATTGGGTTTCCACAAGAGCGGCCTACGAGTATTATGTCATCAATATACATTGGATGATATGGAGACATTCATTGTAACATTTGTTTTGGGGAATTCCTGACAACGTCCAAACACTTTCACTTTCGTTATGATTAGAGCACTTTGACATTCAATTGGAAATCGAACATGCATTTATTAGTTTTAGTCAATGAAAAGGAATCAAATTGATGATTATCCTCAAAAAGTCATTTTTATCATTTTCTAAGGCCTGGTTATTGTATACATCCTGAACAAGACTCAGGAATATATGGTCCATGTCTGAATATTATAATGCAAAGATATGACTTTATAGTTGGGACAATGAGAGGCAAAGTTTAGAAAGGTATGTATACATGAATGATGTAAGAATATTTGGCAAATTGAGCTAGTGTATGTTATTATGGCACTTCACAAACTTTAGAAATACAAAGTTTTGAATTTAGCGCCAGACTTCGTCCAATGAAAATCGAGTTCGCAGCGTAACCGAGCTAATGACCTACTTCTGCTGGCACAAGATTTAAAATGGAGAAGTCGCTAGAATTCCTCTCTTTACGGGGCCAAAACACTGTCAAATGTTGGGATCATCACATCTTAGGCAAGTTTGGATGTGAGGCCAAAGAGAACGCATATGATAAGGATCGAAACTCACAGGTAACTCAAGAAATTACACGATTATTGTATCTGTACTTGGTGACCCCAAAAATGGATCGAAATGTCTTTTTGTTTTCTCTCTTATTTACAAATATTCGGACTGTTTACAACATGATGCATGCATCAGATTAAAGAAAAAACAACTTGACATCATATAGAACATGTTTAAAATTGAAATGAATGATTTTCTTGGATAAAGAAATTGTATAAATGGGGGTCAACAAGTACTGGTGGCATTGGGTGCAGAATCTGTCTCTTGGAGATTCTGACCGAAGACTGGTCAACTGAATTGACCACAACTTGTTCTATATGTTACTTAAACTACTATCTGCTTTTTGGTTAATTTCCTCTGCAAGAAATTGAATTGAAATAGCATAAAGTGGTGTTGTCAGTTCAAGAAACAAGTAAAATTGACCTTGGAATTCTACAGATATTGTGACTAAATTGATGTAATTTTAAATCATACATTGTAATTATATTATTTGCTCTCCTGTTTTCTCTCGAAAAGTCCCAATAGATTAGGGCAACCATGGTAGATGAGAGTAACAAATGACAGATGTCAGTTGATATAAATTAAAACTGTCTAGATATGATGCATGTACACTTCAGTAGTGCAGAATTTTGCAGGAATTATACCTTGGCACAGTGGTAACAATCATTGTCACACATTTCTAACTTGATGCAACCTTTACACATATTGGCCAGGTACCTGTATGCAGAGTTAATAATTGTTACTTGACTCAGACGTACCATAGACTTAGTCTGAACTACAGTTATACGCATATGACTTCTGAATGCGTATAGGGTAGTACAATTATTTGTGCATGTGTCTATTTCGAAGTCTATAACACATTCATACCAATCTCACGCTGTATTATGGCCTATATATTAAACTATAACATAGTGTTGTTGACAGTTTGCCTGGTGTAAACCAAGGGTCTTGGTCATACAAGTATTTGAGGTGTGATCAGCAATCAATCAACATCGTCTCCATCCTTCATGACATTAAAGATTGATTTTTGAAAGTTTTACTTGGGAGAAAATGACAGGATCCTCAAAACTACTTACAAAAGGCAGAACTGCCTACCATGATCAAACACTTTTGCAATAACTATATAGTTGACCACAAAGATCTAATAATTTGCTATGGTATATTGTATGTGTTAAACACTGCATGCATGATTCATGCAGATAAAAATGACTGAATTTGCATAAAGGTTTTAAAGCCATCATTTCAAACTTTAGCATGGAAATTCTTGTAATATTGTCACCTCCAATATATCTGAATCTGCCTTAACTATGTATCTAAAACAAAGTAACTTAAAAATGCTTATTCAGCAATATAACATCATTATAATCTTAAAGGAAATAATTATAGTTTGTTTATTTAGTTTTATATTTACATGTAATTGTATTCTATTGCATTTGATACATTATTTGATAAGATTAACAATATAAAACTTGGTATAACTCATTTTTCTAGCACCAACTAAAATGTTTATGTTCAGAAATGTTCACATTTAGAGGTAAACCCTCAAGGTGCTCCCATTTCAAGGTGTTCCCATATTCATAATTTATTGTAATGATTCAAATGGGGAATTTAAAGATTACTAAAAGGACAAAGGACAGATTATTTGCTAATTTTTAAGTATTTCATTTTTTCACAAGATTAATGGTATATGATATGTGATTATGTACATATTAAGTAATACAATCATTAATCAATATAACGTATATTTAGTTTAATAGGTTTAGTCTAGAAAAGTATGAATCATCAAAGCTCTAGCACCACAGCCTTTAGTACTCCTTGACCAGTGGAAGTCTTTGAAATGTATTATCCAATTTAAAAATTTAGGATCAAAATACCCTAACAATGTATTTTAAAATATTTAGTTTACTTTGTATTTAATTCACATTTACAAATGACAATAGACAAAAACTTAAAAGCAACCTCACATAGAAATGTGCAATTTTTAGTTTATTTAACTAAAAAAAACTATCATTTGTCATGGAATCCATGAAGGTGATGCACATTGTTCCCTTAATTTCCTGTAGACTTTTTAAGCCTATTTACTCTCTGTTTCTCTCTGTTATTCGCACCTTTTCTTCTCAATGTTTCAAAAATGCGATCATGATGACATTTTTTATTGACTAAAACTGAACAAGATCACAAAAATGTCAGGCTGAACTCTTTGTTCCATTTGATTTGGTGGTTATAATGGCAGTGTAAGTTAGAACCCAAGGACCTTTGGCGATATTTGTGGTAGCCACAGTCTGAGTTCACTTGTTCTTGCTATGAATATACTTTCTAAACTTTCTAAAAATAATCAATATCAATATGGATGTGTGTAATAGAATATGATAACATGCATCTGGTGACAAAATCGAATCATTGATTTTAAATAATTTGTCTATTTTACATTTTACCATTGGAAAATGATTATTTGGAAGGGAAATCTTTTTCAATTATTGTCTGGATGAAGTATAGAGAAAAAAGAGAATGAACCACAATGGGCAGCTTTTAGACTGTATAATAGTCCTCTGATGGATTGATCTATAGGTTAGACTGTTAGAGTACTCCTGACCAGAAAGCCAAATAGATTAATTAATATGTACTGAAAATTCAATAGGTTGTTTTGAAAGCTGAAATCTCCCTTTTGTCTGTCCTGAACTAGTCATTTACCATGAGGAAAACCTTTATTTAAGTTTTCTTTTATCGGAAAATTGACTTATATGGAGATGCAGGAAATGTATGAGGAAGGAATATTCAATTAGAAACAGAATAAGAGGCCTGTTGATTTAAATGTTTGAATATATATTTTTCATACTCACCAGAAGTTGTGACATGCTGTTAAAATCGCCAACTTTTTGTGAGATGGTGTTTTATGGCTGGCAAAAATTCTTTCAAAATCATGCAGTTTTTCACCATGCTGAGCACTTTTTAAGTTATTTTGGCCATTTTTGGAACAAAATTGTCAAAAGTGAACCCCCCTAGAATATTTTCAAAAAGTGAACCCCCCTTGGCAAATTCTGGCTACGAGCCTGCCCCCCATATAAAATCTGACACAGAATCCAAAATCACAGTAACCCACTTAACTGATTAAAACTATTACTTTGACTTTATAAATGTATGTTTTGCTAAAGATTATCTCAGATAATAGAAATATTTTAACAATACATGAATGAAATTATATAACACATTTTTAATTTGTATGACTTCTTGCTTTTATTCCAGGGGATTATCAACTTTGGAACTGCAGACAACAAACTATGTGAGGACATTATAAAAGAAAGGGTGAGTTGTATTTTTCATCTCTCTGGCTATGATATTAAATTACAGACAAATTCCCAGAACTTAGTGATCGCTATATAAAAATTGAGGATGTATTCTATTTTCTTTATTTTTGAAAATGTTATTCAGTTTGCCATCAAGAAGTGGTGACATGTTGTTTTTGCCACAATTTTTTGTGACCAGCATCAGTGTTTGTAACACGTAGTTACACTTTTTACAGTTATAACCAGGTGGTTAACATTTTGTCATATAACCTTGGTGGACACGATATAGGTCACACTTTTGACAACATTAGTAAATGCTTTTTAAAGTCAGTATTTTAGCATAACAATTATTTTAGTACTTTAACAGACTACATAAAGCTGGTTTTAAATATGTTTTAGAAAAAATGCTAATATTGTATGTAAATGTTCAACTGGACGCACACAATTGTAGTGCCGCTGTTACAAAAGCGTAGAATCCAAATAAATAAATAAATAAAAAAAAATATTCAAAATGCCATTATACTTATTAAAAAAGAAGAATTCAATTTTTGCCATTATTATGTAATAGTTGAACAACTTGAATGAATTAATGTAACCTAAATATTGAAGAGGAAAATAAATTAAATACATTGTCAACAGAAAGGGGGTATACATGTTGTTTATAAATTATGAAATCAAAATTCAAGTTCATATTTCCTATCAAAACTGTCCTTAAACCTATCTGAGATTTTGCCATAAAGTTCAATGATTTCATGGACAAAATGGTAAACAAGTAAAATGAGGCTAATTTCATAGAAATGTTGGATGATTTTTAAGGCAAGGTGTTTTATTACAGTTTAAGTACTACTAGCTGAAGTAATATCTTCAAGTTAAAAGTTCACAGTTTTATTTTATATAGAAACCATAACATTATATTGATTTTCAGAGTTTGGGATCAAGAAGTCAGAGATTCTACTAAATACTAAAGTATAAAAATTTAGAAAATCATGTTTAGTGGGGAATTATAGAGTACCATCATTTATCCAAGAAGAACATATCTTAATTACAATTTTTATCATGGAGTATTTTTTACCACAGACCTGAAGAAATTTACAACTTGCTCTAAACTGTTTCTGTTTTATTCTGTATCACTAGTGAACCAGAGAGAGAAGTGCAACTGACTATTAAATAATCATAAACTAGAAACTTAAAATCTAAGTTGAAGTGAAAGTTGAATTGATGAGGTACTGTAATTGACAAGTGATTCGTCATACATCTGCAATTTGACAGTTTACTCCCATGTGAACTTAAATCAATTTTTATAATTACTATATCACCTCTTGTATTTTCCTGAAAATAATGCAATTTCATCTGTTGATAGGATTACTTTGGTGTACATAAGTATTATGATTTCAAAATAGTTTCTCTTTAAAGGTTAACTTACATGTTTTCAGTGCTTTAATCAAGAAATTCTCAATTAAACTTCAAAAACTTAAAATGAATTGAGTGCGCAAATTATTATATTAATGGTTAATGTTTCACAAGAGTTTTTACTCCCACACCCGTATTTCATACAGAAATCATTGTTTATAAATAATCCCTAACTAAACATTTCAACGAGTATAATTTGATTGATTGATATTTAAATAATACAAAGCGATTTAGTTTTTATTTGGACAATTGTTTTTCTTGTCATACTGCTCATCGATGATGTTATTTTATAAAAATGTATAACTTTATTATGTTTTCAGTGTCATATGATTTTTTATGCCCTTGATACGTTTTATTGTAATATTGCAAGATGCAAGTATTAACTTTTTTATTATGCTGCAAATTGTATGAATGACCTAATAGAAATAACATGGTAAGTAAGAAGTGAAATTGAGTAAATAGACTGAAATTCTAACAATAGTCACAGTACTGATAGGTTTTTTCAACAGGGTGCGAAACCTCAATTTGTTTTGGTCAAAATATCTCAATATTTCATCTTTTTGATAGTGTTGAAACAGATTTTAACATGGTGGAATGTATTTTTACATTTCCAGCATGGTGTGGCACCCATTTGCTTTTTAAATGCTAAGACCACTGGTGTTATTTTTCATTTTCAAAGTATTATTGAACATATACTTGTAGAGTTGATATGGGGTCTCTTAGAATATAATTTACTCATCAGTCACATAAGGCTACATTAGATTGACACAAATGTGTTCCTTAAAAATCCTGTTAAGTATATCGTAAAACCTGTATATATTGAACATTTTTGCCAATAAAAAATGTTCAGTGTTGGTAGCTGTTCACTACAGAGGGGGTAATTATACAGAAGTCAGTAGAATATGTGTGTAGGAAGGGTGTCCCTTAGAGACAGAAGTTTGGAATAAAGGTATTCACTCAGACAGGTTTTACTGTAACAGTAAAATTCTACTACCCTGAGGCACAGAGCCAAGTACTTTGGAAACTGTATTTTGATTGATCTATTTTTGGTATTTTGATTGGGTGAGGCCTGATCAAAGGAAATCTTATTCAAAGGGTTTAGATTAAACTCTGGAATCCTGGTTTTAAAGAATGAAATAAAAAATCCAAAAGCCCAAAGTAAGTTAAAATGTAAAGCAATTAAGTGGAAATATAAAACAAAATAGAAAATGATTGTAGAAAATAAAGAAGAATTTATTACAGCTTAATAAATATAGACACATCAATTATTTGTAGAACTAACTTTCTGTTTTTATAAATTATCTTAATTATTTATGCAAACAATGAATTGATAATAAAGATGTTTCACATATTATGACAATACTGAGCATTTCATAGTTATCACTGCAACAAGTTTACGAAGATGTCCTTGTGCTCATAAACCTACAATAATATAAAATGCTCTCATAAAGTCCAGCACTGTACTCTACTCTACAATTCAACTCTAACAATGGTTAATTGCTGACTTATTGTTCAGTGCACTTTTCATGGCATAACATGGAAGAGTTCCTACACTTATCACACAAAGTTTATGAACCTTGGTATGACAATAGGCTGTAAGGAACTTTTGTGTGGCATGGGATTTAGGTTGGGTTAGCTTGCTTTTTAAAATACTGTTTCCAATAAATATTGACACAAAAATAAATTGGGGTAATGGGGCTTGCAAAGTCGCTCCCTAGTAAAAAATATATGCAGTAAAACAAAATCTGTATCTTTGAAAAACATCAATATCTATAGTGCCAATTAGAAAGTTTCTGGTGAAAGTTTTATCCAGGTTTCTACCTTCAACAATTTCAATTTTAAGATTTTTGTGATTCATCTTTAGTCTGTGACGTAAAATTCATTGGATTTTTTCTCTGTATCATTGCTCAATTTCGATATAATTTATAGTTTTTTAATGAGTTTGTTTAATCAACTTGGCAATTAAATATAATAATTCATCGTGATATATTTATAATTTGAACATATACAGAATTTGGCAGGGAATGGCTCAAAGATGAGTATTTGATATAAATACATATATATTTTAAGGGATGTTTCACTTTCCAGGTTTAACTGTAAAATGTAATCATGAGGTTGAACTATTTGTCTCTTGTGGATTTGACATCCTGCTAAACAATAAATATTTAATACATGTTCTTCAATATTTGTCACAGAAGCCAACCAGGACCTATCCTTTGCTCAAGCTCCATGTAGCCTTCATCAGTAGTGTCTTTTCTGATTGCCTCATACAGTACCTATACTCTCTCTCTTTCTTCATTTTGTCTTAAACATCTACCATTTCTAATTTAAAAATAAATGATGGAAATCAAAGGTCTAGGCAGATCAGAGAAATTGGGAGCAAGGGCCTTATATTTCAATAATTTCATTTCATGCTCTTCACATATTAAGAACCAGATTATTTGGATGGGGAGGGCTGAATGCAATACAATAGCTATATTTCAGACCTGTTTATGGTCATTTTAAGGTCAGTAGCACACATGGATTCAGGGTGACAATGAATTCAGTATTTTGTTTGTCAAACCTTTTCTAAGATGTTTCTTCAACCTAAAGAAAATTTCTCTATTGTATGATAAAGATGTACGAGTATACCACACTTATATGCTTTTGCCAACTAAAGTTCCTTTAACTTCTAGAGACATCTGATATTCTTTGATGTTTTAACATTGAGATATTTGTTATTGTATTAATAGTAGAATCTTATTTATTTTGTTATTTGAAAAAATCAGGTTTGTCAAAGTCAAAAATTGATCTGAAAAAAGGGTAATGTAAGCACTAAAATTGGCTGCTTTAATATTTATTCATTTCTTGCAATTACTAATCATCAGGGGTTTCATTCAGTGTACTGGTATGTTGATTTCACTATATGTTGGTTTTTCTGTGTAGGTCTCACTGTATGTAGGTTTCACTTTATTTTGGTTTTAAAATCTTGACATATTTTTAATGAGTGATATTTTTATAGTAAAGAACAGGAAGCTGGGAAGCCAGTCAAAACATCATCCTAGTTGACCACAATCAGCCAGGGGAAATAGAACACATCCTCTATAGAACATGTATTGATCTGGTCGACTACTCTGAAGCAAGTACAGTATATTGCTCTGGTCCATATTTCCAAATTCCATATCATAATGAAACCCAGTGGTTATGTTGAAATTGAGTAAATAAATTAAATCAAAAGATAAACAAAATAGCAGAAAGGGAGGAATAATAAAGGGTATGGTTAGTATACTGAATTATGAAGCAACATTATAAATGGAAATGAGATATTTTATAAAAAAAGAGAGAAATAGTGCAAAAATAGCATGTGACAATGATAAATGCTATCAAAGAATTATTGAAAGAATGGTGTGAGACTATCATGTTGATATTTACGCTTTCACTTCAATGTTGAAATATTTTATGGACCATGTCGTGTTTTATTACAGTGTAATGGTCCTGTAATTTTAAAGATTATTTCAAGTGTCGGATCATTTAAACTTTCAAGAATTTTCAAAACCACAATATATTTCAGTTTGGATGATGTCATTAGTTCTATGTTTTATTGAGTATTTCCCCAAAGTAATCACTCATAAAATACTTTTATCTTTTTTTTGAAAAGTGCAACCTGTTTTATTTTGTCGTGTTATTTATATCCACAGAGAGGAAACTGATACATGTTTTATGTCCATATCAGATGTACCCATTACGGTTGATAAAGGAAATGTACTCTATACCCCGTATTTTATACTTTATTAAGAGTCAAAGCTCATAAGCAGATATAGAATTCTGTTGTTTTTTATACAGAATCGACCACCTTAGAATCAATATGATTATGAAAAGACCACTTGTATTGCTGAAAGGTGTTTGTCGAGTGTTTTTAGGTGTTCATACTACTTTTTATTAAGTTTACACACTAAAAGATTCCCTTAATCTATTTTTTATCACGATAGAAACATATAACTCTTGAATGTAAATATTTAAAAACAATGTTATTTCCTGGTTAGATTCCATTATAATAAATAATTTTGTCTCATTTCTCCTCACTTTGAAAAAAGACAAAGATAGCATGAGAATGATATTGGTTAGATTCCCCTATTAGATACTCTGAGATAGTCTTGCATCAAGTCCCCATACTGTCCCTCCCCATTCACTCTATTATTGTTAGGTGTATCTTGATATTGGTTAGATCCCCCTATAGATACTCTGAGATAGTCTTGCATCATGTCCCCATACTGTCCCTCCCCATTCACTCTATTATTGTAAGGTGTATCTTGATATTGGTTAGATCCCCCTATAGATACTCTGAGATAGTCTTGCATCATGTCCCCATACTGTCCCTATTGAAAAATAGGGGTTGTTTTGAATTTGGAGACTCTTAAATTAACACTAAGAGACCGATGCAAAAGTTTAATACAGGAGAGCTAACTAAATTTTAATAGTTAACTCCTAGACAGCCCCCCCCCCTCTCCCTGTTAAATAAATATGGGAAATGTTGATCCTCGCGGCATTTTCAAAAGTATATCCAAATGCACTTGAGTTCATCAAATCGGCCTGTTTAAGTAAATTGAAGGGTATTTCTTGCACTTTCATATATTCTTGATGATTGATTTTGTAGAAGTATATTTTGAGCTTGTCTTTTAAACACCAGTCCCGCTGTGTTGACAGTCTTACATTTGAATGAAACCAGGTACGATTTTTCTTTTTTCCTTATTCCTTATTTTACGCGTTGTAGGCAGAATCCCCATGACATTTTTTCTCACAAACATATATCAGTATCATATGTTTTAGAAAATGTACATGTTTGCGAAAGATTAGCTCAGACGACAACAGAATCGTCGATTTAATTCCTCACTTAAGTTACAGAAACGGTTTGGGTTAAAAGTGCAGATCTTAACTGTTTTTCGAAATACTGTTTCTGTAACTTAAGTGAGGAGTTAAAAATAGACGATTCTGTTGTCTTCTGAACTATTTGTTCGCAAATATGTACATTTTCTTAATCATATGATACCGATACACGTTTGTGTTAAAAATGTCGTGGGAATTCTGCCTACAACGTGTGAAATAAGGAAAAATCGTACCTTCGATGTTCCGACATTTTGTTACCGAAACGGTACCAGTGTAATCGAGTGGATTGAGTTAGATAATGCACTGAGTCACATTATGTACATTTGAGTGATGTAAAGGAGGACGGAAAGTAATCCAAAAAATGACTGCCCGAAATATGTTGCAATACTTTCCGTCCTCCTTTGACTGCATAGGTATATATGTACCTGTACTAAGCATTCAATTTAGTAATAATTTGAGTAAAATACTGGATTGAGTTATGCATTTTATGACATTCATTCAAACTCCATTAGTTTTATTGATATAATTTATTGTTTTCCATGTAATATTGTAATGATCTTTTTATATCATTCTTGCTGTGCAGTTTATTGTGATTTGTATGAGTTTTCTAAAGATATCTCTGATATTTTAATGTTTCATATGTCTTTAATCCTAAAAAAACTATAGATGAATGATACTAATAAGACTATAATACTATATTATTCAATTAAGTGCCTCTTTGCTAATAAAAGCGAACATTCCAAATAAATAATAAAAAAAATCACAAAATGTTAATATGGCATTTCTATATACCCTGTGCGCAGTCTAGATATAAACTACCCTCTGCCTAGTATAAATTATATTACAATTTAACAGCTCTGCCCCCACGACTGGTGCCTGTGACAACCCGGCTCATTTCATTTCAAATCATTTCAAATCATTTCAAACCTATCATGCAGACCTTTTCTCACTTTGTCATTCAGATGACAAACTCTGATTGGCTCGATGATTTCAGAGATTTATTGTAAACTGAAAGAGCGAATTACGAAGCTCTCTTTAACAAGTGAAGTTTAACTAATTCAAAATGTATTTCTATCTGTTATCCAGGTTATGTATGAGTAAAAACTATGATTGCATTCTTTGAATTCTTAAAATTAAGTCTACAACAAAGCAAGCTTTTTTAAAAGAATATATTCTATTATATAGAGTTTCTTTATAGTTTATATGATACCAGTATATATATCCCTGAACAAATGTAAACATCCTTATTGGAATATGCAATTTGTACATGAATGTTGCAATTGCAGACACGGGGAGTTTACCTACAAGTTGATTACAATAAAGGTCACCTGACTTCGCCATGAAATCTGCACTCTGTATATTATTGTGCAATTATTTCTGATTTATTAGCTGTAAAAATGAAATATAATTTTATTTATGGGAATCTAATTTATATAAATGTCAATTTTTACAGCAGATTGATTTCAATTTACAGTTTTCGATTGAGAATTTAATTTATTTAATGAGATATTCAGTGTAATCCTTGAAATTAAGCTAATAATGTCACCACCCCAAGTGGTGACATATTGTTCCAGTAACTAATTTGTGGATGGTGTTCGGTGTCTTTAACATGATGTCTGTAACAAATGGCATTTGTAACAAATGGCAGGTGGTGACATTTTGCATGTTAATGCCTTGTTAGGTCACATCATAAACCTTTTGAATAAAACAATGTTTTAAAGTAAGAAGATAATAATTTCATTCTTGCTGTTTCTTTTTAAATTTCCAATTCTTGCTTGAGTTATAGCTTTTACATTCATGCCAGTTTTATTCAACATTAGGTTCTTAAGTCCATTAAAATGCCGATGATTGGGTATTCTGGCTCATTAACTTTAACCTCTTACATCAATTTTTCAAAATATTTTTATTCCAATTTTTCATAAAATTACTTAACGAAAACACAGAATGAATCCTGTAAGAAGAGCTGTATTATACTCTGAGGGGTGTGTGTTATATACAGTACATCTGTACATGTCACAAGTTGCCACACTATGCCTACCTTAAGTTAGCTGTTAAGGTAGTCTAAGTAAAATTATAATTGACTTGAGCCCTTTACATACTGTATAAGTGGTAATTTTGCCTAATCATTTAATTTGCCTATTTCCTAATTTTTGCCAGGTTCGGAAAATTAAATGGCGGAAATATAGTCTTTATAATGTTATCCAATGGGAGGTTTCTTGTCATTAGGAAAATTAAAATTAGGAAAATGATGAACTTTGACCATTCGGAAAATTAACCACTCGGATTAAATACCACTTATACAGTATAGGCTTGCATTATAGCCTATTATGCTTTAATACATCAACAGGTCCCAAAGTCATCCTATCTCAAGAAAACTATTAAGGTAGGCGACCTGTACTGAGAAATACAGATAATCAACTTAATTATTACTTTCTGTCATTTCTGAACAGACAAATGATGTTATTTTAGTCTTTTATTAAACATAATGTCTCTCTTTATATGCTTACAGCTCATGCGGCCAGACATGAACAAGTTTGATGAAACCATGCAGCATTATTTCCAGTTCCATGGCGGAGACAGGTTGGTTGGATTTTAACATCTAGTGGCCTGACTTGACATCATTGAAACAGTGATTTTTTTAATTTAATAATTCTTACATGGTTTAAACATCACGAGAAAAAATTATTGAAAAATAAGCCACTTAGAATCCAGGAGGGATATTGGGCAGAATTGAATTTGACAAATCATAAATATCAATACTGTACTTTCAAGGATTGCCCCCATGGTGTTGAATAGAGATTGTTTGATGGTGTCATATGAATATTAAAAAAAAGCCATTGGAATCCTTATGCCACACCTGTTCACAATCAAACTTTATTAAGCCCCTCATATAAGAGAAAGGTACATTTTATTCTCTATTTTATCAACATTGCTCATTAAAATATATTTGAAAATTGACCAGTTTGTGTCTACAAAATAATAAAATTAGATCTGTCTTAACCTTTACCATGCTGCCTTATTTCAGCAAATATATCCCACGCAACTGGCTTATTTTTCAAAGAGTGCAAAAAATGATTAAATAATTAATATCTCAATAACTACTGAATGAATCTGGATAAAATTTTCACAAAGGGAAGATACAGTGGCCTGGCTCATGAAAAAAATGTTCTCATGAATTTATTCGTACATTAACACGACTGGGCATAAATATACCATGAATACTCCTCCGGAATCCGCCGCTCCGCCTCTTCGTCTGGTCAGAATCCAAATCTGAATTTGCAGCGATCGAATGTTCAATTTTTCAATTCAGAAAATATTCTAGTTTCTATTTTCGATGACCGTTATCGGCTTCCAAGAGCCTAAAGAGCTCGAAATCGTAATCCATTTCCTCCACATTTTCGTTGTGATCGTATTTGTCCGCCATTTTGTACGATTCGTTCACTAAAAACGACTAAAACACTGTATAAATTGTTGAATTGAGAATTATTTTTCGAAATATCGCCATTTCTAGGTCAACAGGAAGTCATAATAGGCACTGAATAAATCGGGCAATCTAATTGGACAATACGAATGGCGCGAAAAAGTAAAGTTTTTAAATGTTTGAAATCGGGCGTACGGGTCCGCCGGCAGTTGTGAGAGACATTTTAGTCTCGGCGGACTCGTCCGCCGGCAGCACGCTAAAGGTTAAATTGCCATTCTGCAGGTCCATCAAGCTCTTTTTAAAAAAACTAGTTTCTGTGGATCACAGTGCATCTTTGCATTTTCTTTCATTTCACCTCTGTATTTTTAAAATCTGATTTCATCCCAAACCACTCAATATTTTCTATAACGAAATAAAAGAAACTCTTCTATGGTTAAACTGCATGATACATGCATGTATGATACTTCAATGAATTAGTCTCAATTGTACTGCTCAAGGATTTTGCTCTACACTGCATCTGTCACAGTTTGTATGGTTGTACCATAAGCTGATTGTACCAACTAACCGTGGATTAATACAATTCATGAAGATTTCTGCTTTTAATACAGGGAGACATCTGTGTCCATATACTAGAACAGTGCACTAACACTTCATTGAATATCGTTATGTTACCAGGCTGATGAATTTATTCAAATGTCCATCATCATTTTCCTTCAGAACAAGGGATTTGATCGGAAGATTTGTTCGCAATGGAGGGTCAAGTTATTTTTGTAAAATTACAAAGTAAACCCCAAAATTAATTTTGTAACTCATAATTCTGATTAAACCATAGGAAATGACCGCTCTATGCAATGGTTATATCATATATATTCACCTTTATTCCAAGTCCAATAATTAGAAGTTATGCCAGTAGCTATTGAAATTGGCATTATTACCACCTTACCGGGCCAGTTCTAGGGGTTTTAGTGCTAGTTTAGAAGGCATTCATTTTACTATATCGACCTGAGAAATGTGTGAGGTCATAGTGGTGGTCCATATGGACCGGTCTAGAATATATTCTGGACCGGCAAATTTTCCCCGGGAAATTAGATATGGTTCAGTGCGTAAGATTTTCTTGCTATTTCAGCCCTGGTCGTTAACGGTGGTAATAATACTAATAATGTCATTTCCAAGGGCAATATAGTGAAATATTGGACCGAGGGCTATTCTGGACCCGGGATACTTAAGTCATTGAAAAAGGTTATAACTCTGCTTACCACAGTAGAATTACACAGTAACAAACCAAAGATATTCAACACAGCATGCTTGAATGAATTACACCAGGTGTTAAAAATTGAAGTAAAATAAAGTTCTAAGGCTTAAGATAGGAAATATTCAGTTCTTTTACTATATTAGAGGTGATGAATTATTAAACATGAAGGACAAACAGACAAGGGTAGGTGTGAAGGAACTGCAATTACTGGCTAATGGGATAGAATGTCATCCAAGTATTGTTTGTGTGGGTACAATATATTTTTAACGTGTTGCTTATGGGAAATGTCATCTGAAGTTACATCTACTCTTATCTAGAAGCTGAAAACTGAATTTTTAACATGGCTAATTAAGCCTTGAAAGTGTTCATACTTCGAAAAATAGCCTGGATTGTGTCAGTGAATGTATTATTTAAAAGATCTATAATTGCTTCGGAAACACATTGACCGATCTTGTGTGATAATTTACTAAAAGTCTCCCTGGATCGCCTTTTACCACAATTTACCACTTTTTGTTTTCTCAATGATTTGATTTTTAAAACCTGGCTTTACTAATTCTCAAAATATTGATGCATTTTGATTGTTTACTTTATCGTGCTTTGAGGCATCCAGGGATTCATTTACATCCTCTGTCTCCAATAAAGAATCTTGGTATTGAGTTACATCCTCTGTCAAATGGGCCCAGTCAACAAGTGCATCAGCTCTTCCTTAGATAATTCATTCTTAGATAATCCATTATCTAATCCATTATCACAACAATTACCAGTAAATTGAGTAACTTTTCCTGCTATTGTTCATATTATCATAGAGTAATTGGTTGAATGCATTTATGTCATTCTGCAGCCAATACAGGAAATGTTAGGAATCATATGAAATTCAGTTGAATTATGCATCATCGTCATAGTTACAGATATTTGAAAATCATGTACTGCGATTTAACTTCTTGGTCATGTTCTATTTTGTTCAGTTCCTCAGTAAATGTCAATGAATTCTCTAAATTTCTTAAATATTTCATCAATTCGGATCATTGTCTAATGTGACAACTACATGTATGTCTGTTGACTTTATTTTTATCTGTGGCATGTAACTGTTTTGTACTAATTTTGATGTTCTCGATTTCATGAGATTATATCAATCGGTTCTGTGTTGAAATGCCTTGGGATGTCTTCTCTAATTGTTATTTTCCATTAAAATTCCATGTCATATCAAACCTTGCAGTTATTTCAACCAATAATTCTTGAAAAATAATTAATAACAATTAAATAACATGGTACATTCATAAAACATTATATTTTTTTGATTTTTGTATATATGACACCTGTATTGAAAAACAAAATTTATTCATTGAAGACTTGATGAATAATAAGAACCTTGTATCTACATTTTGTAGAGAATTCCATTCTAAAGGATGGCAGGTTTAAGTACTTCCTTCTTCTTTCTGTTGAATATCATGAAAACATTTTATTAATGCAATAACATATATTTGATCACACCTTTTCCTTATTGATTTCCAGGTTTATTAAATAATTAAATGATTATTTACTGTGAGTTTGGACAATACATATAGAAAATATAACAATTGATTAAGGTTAATCAGTTCATAAGTACAATGTCATGATATTTATGGAATTAAAGCTGAGAGAATGGATCATTAGCAAGGTATAAAGTAGAGGCCTACTGACATGAAGTTTATAAAAGTTTGATCTAGAAGTCTTAAAATGAATGCTGAGGTTGGCTAAACATTAACAGTAGTGTGCAATTGCCACCCTCAAAATAGTTTTCTATTTATGGATTTTTTATATTTTGAGAAGTGTTTTAGTTCTGATGGCTTGGAAGTTAATAAAATATTAAAGATGAAGCAGATAAGAATAAAGAATTCATGAAGTTGTTCACAGACAATTATTTTGGTATGAATAGGAAACAATAGCGTAGTTCCACGATTGCACTCTAACTTGCTTAACTTCATATTTCTTGACATGGGGAAGGATCTCTTTCAGAATTTATTGGCTTATTGGAATTTAGAGGCAAATGACAGATTTTATTTAAATACATGTGTTTCCCATTATTTGTGGTGGATAATCATGGTTTATCACATTTATACTATAAATATACAGATAATGTCAGTAAGGTCTTGTATAATGACAAGTAAATTGTATATAATCAATATAAGGTTAGACAGTACACTTGCCTATAGATGGAATGCTACCTGACTTTATGATATGCTCATCTCAGGTAACACCCTTGATCTGCACTCTGAAATTATGATATCAAACCCTTACCCTTTGCAAAATCTAGCCTCTCTGTTTCAGAGTAGCAATCATTTAAAAAATTGTCTACTAGTCTTACTTCAAGCCTTATGTCCGCATTCATTTTCTATCTGGCATGTCTTGCTGACACCTGAGTCTTTGAGCCCCTCTCCCATTTTATCCCTACATATTATGTAAAGAGCCTTCAAACTGTAATCAACTGCAGAAATCAGAGGGTTATATGACTAGCTGATACGGATCAGGGTACTGTAAGTCTGCAAGTCATCACTGTTAATTATATCTTCTATGACATTGCTTTTGTGTGTCATCATTACAAACTTATGATCAGAGAGAACAGGTTGAGTAATGGTACAACACAATTGCATGTAATGACTTGCACCAGTGAAGGCTATCTGCCAGATATACACTGATAGTTGATAATACAAATTGGCTTTGTTGCAGTATATCAGCTATAAGAAACATGTCATGGTCGAATTAGTATTAGAGGTAATCCAGTGCTTAATCAGAAGATTACCGTTAGACCTGATTATATTGGCAGAAAGTGTAGTGGGAGAGAGACTTCACCCCTCTCCCCCTGAATGTTATCTTAATTAAAATGCTATTGAAACTAGACAGACAATTTCCTGTTTGTGGGGGCCGGAACCTTGCATATCTTTAATATTTGACTTTAATGGCCTTAGACAGTATACACTTTACTGTTCAATTTTTCTTTTTCAAAATATGTATCTTTTCATTGTATTTAGTGCACCCTGACCCTGGGTCACAGAGCATAGTAAGAACTCTTGTAGATGAAGCTCTCTATAAAGTCAAAAGAAACAAGATAATCCAGCAAAAATGACACTAGAAAAATATGAAGGCCATAATGCTGTTTTGACAAAACTGATTCATGTCCACTTTTTATGGAAATACCAAGAGAAAGACAATGAACAAACTACATGTAAATGCTTGTTTTCTGTTGGTTAGGTAACACGTTAATGACGTCACAAATTAAAAATAATCAACAGTGATGTGTGACGTTTAGCAATTCGTGGGGGCCCTTTGTAAAAATATGAATAGACGGGAATGTGCTCTACTTGGAACTTCAAGCCTGCACATAGTTTGGTCTTGCATCCATCCCATTGTGGCTCATTCATCTTGTTCACAGACAGACCTACCTCTACAGAAATACGTAGTCAGTCATCATTTTATTCAAATACGTTTAAAACAAATGAATTTCTAAAGGACTTGACAACACACTTTTTAGACATTTATGAAGGCTACATGTAAAGTTCTAAAATAATATCCTGTCATAGGTGTGGAGCTTTGTGTCCTCACATCATGGAAAACCATGCTCACATACAGGAGTATCATTGGATATTATATACTAGAGGAAGCCCTGATATTCTATGAAGCTCAAAGGATTTCATTCTGATACTCATTACATCTTTCTGTTTCACCAGAAACATCTCAGGACTGTCTGAGAAGAAATTAGATGTCATGGTTTATCACACAGAAAGGATTTTAGGTCAATTGTACCTACCAGATCATATTTTACTTTGAATAAAGACACACATAGACACACACAGATATACACATAAATAATCTTAATCATAGATAAAAAACATAATTTTAGTTTAAACATTTATATATTCACACCTTATGCAGGTCTATGCCTTGATTGTGTCAATTTACATATATTATGCTTGTTTTTATCGGTTTGTGGAATCAGATGGAAAGAATGATGTGGGTTATGTGTTCCAAACGTGTCTATTTTCTATTAACTTCCAAAGAACTATATAAAGTGAGATTCTTATAGTGAGAAGCTTTCTCTCATATTCAAAAGTAGAAATAAATGTAAGGACATTAAGTGTGAGCAAAAAATATTTTTTCGTAAAAATATCATTTAGAAAAAACTGTTTGTGAAAAAGTTTTGAAAAAGTTAAGTCATATTATCCAAGGGAGACATGTCTAGCTTCTCTTAGAGATAACTACACATGTTTTAATTAATGGAAATTGTGTTGAGACCATTTGAAAGGCATATATTGTGTGGTATGAGATACTGTATTTTCAGCAATGATGTCTCAAGCAGAAAAATTTGGAAATTTTTCATGACGCACACAGTATACAGATCATGACCATGACAAGCCAAAATTAATTATAGATACATATTTTTATCGTAAACATTTTCACAAATAATCATTTTACAAGTATCTGAATTTTTGTGGATTTAACTGCAAAAATAAAGAGAATAGAATAAACAGAAAAATGTTCCAGTTTTTATTGGCCCACCCTGTATATGGAGAAAGTAATCCTTGGATGTAATTTTCATACTTCATGCATGACTAAAACTATGCCGCCACGCTTGTTTTATTAATTAAATCAATATTTCAATCCCTTGATCATACAATATTGAATCGTCACAAGTGATTGACCTTTATGGATCTTTAATAGTTCTTGGAAGTGTCAGTTTTGTAGTTAGAATATAATATTGATAAGTGTCTCTATTGATTTTCACAATTCCATGTATGTACTGTCATAGGTTTCTTTAACATGGTTGATTGGTTATTTTCACTGTTTGATTTAAGAATCAACAATCAATAACATCTTTTGCAAAATAGAAGAGTATACCAGACCTGGAGACCCAGACTGGGATGCTTAAAAATTGATTGGGCCTCAAAAGAGTTTTGGGTCATTCTCAAAAATGCCTCCTCTTTCCAAAAGACTAGTCTCGGTTTGGAGAACTGCATGTTCGTACTCCATGATCGTACTTGTATATTGTAGTCTATGTATGTACACGTATTATAAAGTCATTTGTTGAATAAGTAAGAAGCTATCACACTTATATGAAAAATGTTTTTGTGTATAGTTTCAGACAGACTTTGGCAGAGTTTCTCCGAGAAAAAGCACATGCTAACCAGGGCAGGGTCTCTGCTAATGATGTAAGTTGTCAACATTTTCCCGATTCTCTGCTATAAACCATTGCTAGATGTAGGAAACAGTCTAAATATGAAGACCGTTTTTCAAATACTTATTTAGTATTTCTTTTATGAATGCCAGTTTTTAGTTTGCATAAACAAAATAAGAAGTTAGAAATTAAAGTTATACAAAACAGAGAATAGATTTGTGTAATGTTATTATTTTGCTTCAGATTTTTGTGACATCAGGAGTTGCGTCAGCTTTTGACATCCTTGCCCATGCAATCTGTGACCCTGGGGGTAAGTATTGAATTTCATCTTTGTGTGCCATATGAATTTACATGTTTAGTTAGAACACTTGTTATTTTCTGGATCATTCAAAATCTTGCATTTAGTAGGTGCGACCTGTATATTACTTGCACTGTAATGTACTTAATGGGAAGAATTTTTGAGAAAATTTTCAAATAAAATTGCTCTCATTCATAACCTAAATACACGAATACACCAATGAGCAGCCTTTTGACAGTATTTGATCATGGAAAAGTTCTCAAACTTCAGCACTTGGACCCCCCAAGAATGAAAACAATTTGTTAGCAACACCTGAATTCATTATTGCATCTTGTGCATTAACACAACATGAAAAATAAAAATTGAATTTTTTAAGAATGCATTTCATTGTATTCATACACTTAAAATTAACACATGGATCTTAGCTTCAATATTTCCCACAAGACATGTAAGTGATCAACATGGGTGTTCTAAGATTATTGTTGCATAATCTGTTTTCTCTGTCAGGTATGATAAGTTCTTTATGTATTTCAGACACCCTCTTGATCCCCTCCCCTCATTATGCTGGTATGGAACATTTTCACCAGCGTGGACAAGTCAACTTATACAGAATACCCCTATCTAGTACAGTAAGTTTGTATTACTATAAGTTTTTACCATAGACATAGTGCCCCTTGTACTTGTTACATCTAGTTCATTATGTCTAGTTTACCATAGACATAATAGTCCTCTAGTATGTCTAGTACAGTAGCTTATATACTATAGTTTACCATAGACATCTAGATTAATCAGATAATCTAATTAATCAAAATATTCACAGGTGCATTTTAGTTGAATTTAGGTGAATGGATTTAGAATCTTTTATCAATTGACCTTTTTCCATATAAATGGAAAATAGATGGGATCATGGGTATAAGTAGGGCTAGAGTAGGGCTAGAATACATGTACATGTATTGCCAGAGTCACTTAATTTCTTGATTTAATTCCATTTGGATCAACTTAAAACACCATTGGAACATAACTATATGATCTTATTGACATGTGGATTGTGATTTCACATTAGAATTGTGATCCTTCTAAGAGTATATGAACTTTTAAAGGTTTTTCAGCATTGTGTCAATGAAGATTTTTTCAATGAGGATTTTTTAGGCATCTAGAAAATTATTAGAATTTGAATAAAGGTAAATAATGGTGCAAATCAAAGTTGTTTTGATAGAAAATTACACACAGAATTCAAATATGCCATCAAATAGAAGAAAGTGTTAGTCTTCAATGGTTAAAAATGCAGATCTCCTAAAATATCATTAAAAACGAGGCTTTAAAGAGATTTCAAAGGTATATGGAAAAAGGACCATCGCATGCCATCTCTCATTAGTTTGCATCTCTTGGAAGAGAACCATGATTATTTACAATATTTCTTTTGCAGGGAACAGACAAAACTTCAAGTTTCCACCTGTCTGCTGACATGTTGAAGACAGCCTATCAGAATGCAGTAAATCAGGTTGGTATTTTATGTCCCATAGAGACTATTAAGTTTGTTCTTTGGGGAAAATGTAAAGGGTACAGTAGCCCTTACCCTAAATATGAAATCAATGCCAGCTACAAAAACTTTGAAAACCAAGTAAAATTTCTTGTTAAGATCTCCTGTTCCAACCAATTGGGATTGATTTTATATAGGCTCAGTAACATATTTCAACTGGTTGAGGCTTAATCAACCTGTATCTTCTAAGAAAATGAGCATTTCAACTTTGTTACTGGGTATATGTATTTTCAATTTCTAATATACAAGATGTGAGTATACTCTAGGGGCGAGGAGGGAAATTCTCAATAATTGGAGTATAGTTGGTTTGGCAGCATTTTCAGTTAGGGGAGAGTCTTGGATGAAATTTCCACCTAGGTGATAGCTTCACAGAGTGGTAGGAAGTTCTTTTTTTTGAAGAGTTAGCCCCCTACCCCACAAAAACACCCCACCCCGGGGAAAAAAATTGTTCACACTAAATAACCTTAGATATTTTGATGTTTGTAAGTGACATACATAGATATTATATATATGAATCATTTGCAGTATAATTGATGCTGATTACTCCTAAAAAAATTGAATATTAGTACAAAGTGTGTTCCCCAGGGGGCAAATTCGTGACCCATTTCCTTACTATTTTGATCCTAACTTTTCAACTAGACACTGTAAGAGGTTGAAAAAATTCATGTGAAGTGCCCAATAGCAGGGTTAGTAACCGTGAAAGATGCAAAGCCATGGAAGAGGTAGGAGCTGAGAAAAAAAATGTTGATTTTTCGAAAAATTTGACATTTTTGACAGCTGGATTTTGTGTATGACTATAGCTGACCCCTTTAGTTCCTGGATCCATCCCTCTATGATGATATATATGGTTTTATAGTGTGGAACTAAGATGTAAAACATAATTAAGATGGGTTTTAAGGAAGTTTAAGGTTTTAAACAAGTCCAAAATTTGAAAAATTGTAAATATAAGGTTTCAAATTTACAAATTCCAGGTAGAGCCATGGCAGACCCCTATAGTTTCTAGATCCATCCCTCTATGGTGATACTTATGGTATTGCTGTATGGAACTAATATGTAAAACACAATTTAGATGGGTTTTAAAGAAGTCTAAGGTTTTAAACAAGTTCAAAATTTGAAAAATTGTAAATATAAGGTTTCAAATTTACGAATTTCAGGTATAGCCATGGCTGACCCTTATGGTTTTTACATCCATACCTCTATGATTAAATATACAGTTTTAGAGTGTGGGACTAAGATTTAACATATCCAAAATGAATTTTAAGAAAGTTTAAGGTTTTAAACAAGTCAAAAATTTGAAGAATTGTAAATGTAAGTTTTCAAATTTATGAATTTCAGGTATAGCCAAAGATGACCCTTATGGTTTTTTTACATCTATACCTGATGAGATATATATTTTTAGAGTATTTAACTAAAATGTAAAAGATGCATAAGATTAGTTGGAAGGAAGTTCAAGGTTTTAAACAAGTGCAAAATTTGAAAAATTGATCTCGAAAATTGGTCTCAAATTCACGTTATTCAGGTACAGCCTTGGATGAGCCCTGATAATCGAAGGTTATGAGCATAATAGTAGCAACTGTGATATCATAGCTTAGAGACCAGGTGTAGAATATATACCTGTTGCAGCAGTTAGTCTGCTGCATATAGACATGATAGATGGAGTGAAAAGTCATGAACTACAGTAAAATCTTTCTAATCTGAATGCTACTAGATATAGTATTTGGACCAACTAAAAGCGTTCAAATTAGAAGTGTTTGAATTTTGAGGTTTTTACATATGCAATATTCTGGATTTTGAAGAAATATGAATGCATTCTCAATGAAAACTATTAATAAATATTAATAATATTCATACTGACCACCCAAAAAGCTTAATAGCATTCCAAAATCCAATTCAAAAGTTTTGATATCATAACAATTCAGTGTTAAACTGTCAATATTTGAGCAATTTTGTAAGAAATATGTGATATTTGGTAAAAAAAAGTTCAAGTTAAACAGATTGATTTTTCAAATATGAGTGTTCACTGTTCGAATTAAGAGGTGTTCAGATTTCAATTTTTAAACATAGGAGTCAATGGGAGGAAGGAAAAATTGAACTGGGGAAAAGTGTTCAGATTGGTTGGTTTTCAGATAAGTCAGGTGTTGGGATGATTGGTAGGTGTTCACAATAGTCAGATGTTGGGATATACAGGTTTCACTGCTGATATATCATTTATACAAGATGATGAACTAGAACTACTGTACTAGGTGCCTTTGATAATTTTTACCACAATGTTATACTATGTCAGGAAAAGAAAGCACCCATGACACTGTGCTTGTACAACTTGAAAATCAACAACACATTAACATTTGATAAAGGTGTCTACCAAATGAGTAATCCACAAATACAAGCACTTGGCATGCTATTCCCTATGATCATTAGTTTCTCTTGAATCAAAAATTGACCTTGGGTTTATGAGAGTAGTAAATTGGAATGCAGTTATATGGAATATTGAATTGGCTGGAATTGGACACACCTTGCCTAGAAATGTGTGAGTAAACTATGATCTTATATGGATACAGTTAGTTTGACAATGATCATCTATCTTATCCTGTAAAATCAGAACTTGAAAAGGGGTTTGAAATGGAGATCGATGAAACCATACCACAAATTGATAAAACTTTTGTGATTGATGCAATGGCTATGACAAAGGGAAAATGAAGATTAACTTATATGTTGAAATTTGGAGAGTTTTGGAAAGCTATATTTGACTACTCCATCAAATCTAGTAAAGGAGCCAAAATAATAGATTTCATATTAGGCTAGTTGTCTCCATCAGTAAAGGATTCTGAAAGAATGCATAGAATGGATGCTTCCCCTATTGAACTTTAATCCATAGAAGAAATTACACCATTACCTAAAAATATGAATACCTTTGTCCAAGTAATATAAGACAAATTTTCAAAGATTACAAAGAAATTCAATAAAGCAGCATTCTAAAAGTGTGCCAAATGTCAAGATTGTTTTAAGTGGAACTATTGGAGAGAACTCAAATATCTGTGAAAATGATAACTGAAATCTCCTGTTAAATTCCACTCCTGAAGAGGCTGATTTTAAAATTATTCACTCTGTTTTACATTCAGCAGAACATGTGGGACTGCAGTAATTTGCATCAAATGACACTGATATTATAATTTTATGACTATCATTTCAATAAATGAAAAAAATTCTTCAACTATGCTAGAAAATGTCATCTGCAAAGTCAGTATGTAAACATTTTCTACAATGTCTGTTTGTTTGAAACATATTGATCATATCACCATATATACTTTTTTGATCTACATGAAGATTTTAATGTGACAAGACCCTTTTACCCTAGAGTTCCTTATATCATTGCACTAATGGAAGTTTCTAGGCCCGGGCGCGGGCGGGGGGGTATGATCCTTATAATCCTTATTTTCCCAAATAATTACTGTTGCCTGATGACAAATTGTTTTATTGGGAGTGTAGTGATTATAATTTGATAATTCATAACAACATTTTGTATTAGGAGATGATCATTGCTTAATTACAGAAGGGGCATAACAAAATATAGAGAAAACATGTTTCTTTTAATTAACCATGTCTTTATGTATTTTGATAATGCAGAACATTACATCGAACATGTTGCTGTGAAAAAGTAAAAATGCTATATCACATAATAAATATCGTCAAATAATAATTAATTAGTTATAATCCATTTAATCAATCAATTACTACACTGTATACGATATCCCTAGGAGCAGTTACACTTACTGGGGGATTTATTAACCTCTCACCCCCTTAGGAACTCAAGAGTTAAGTTCTCAACTCTAATGATTTTTTTTTTAACAATACATGTAACATGGATCAAACCTGACCACAATATTTTCAACATCTAATTTCTAAGCTTAGTCATACATTCAAAAAGAGGGACATCCAGTGCTATACCTGAAATCGTAAAGGAGGACTGAAAGTATCGCGACAGATTTCAGCAATCATATGTTGGATTTTGGCTATTTTCTGAGGATTTGAGGAGGTGCATATGTTAGGCCAATGCATTTCCTCCAGGAAAAGCACCCATAGAGATGATAAAATAATTTCTATTTTGAGACAGGGAAGGTGCAAACAACCCACCCACATGCATAAATATATATGTGTATATGTATAAATATATGTGTTTTTACATACAGTTAACCCCTTTAAATGAAAAATACATTCCATCAGGGATTTTAAAGATATCAAATATGGGTGACCAAAATAAAAATACTGTTTTCCACTTTATCTAAAAGAAATTTATCCTTTAATGGTTAACTATGTCTCAAAACGCAACATATTGATGCAACAAAAATTGAAAAACCATAGGTGAACGGGATTGAAAATCAGGATGACATTTCCCAGAAAACATGTGGGTGGATTGTTTTCACCTTCGCTGTCTCAAATTCCAAACTATTTTATCATCTCTAAGAGTTCTTTTCCCGTAGGTAATGCAATGGCCTATCATATGCACCTGCTTAAATCCTCAGAAAACAGACAAAATTCAACATATGACTGTCTGAAATCTGTTGCGATACTTTCCGTGCTCCTTTGAGACCTGATATTTCTCAATTTTTCAAATATTGCACTTGTTAAAATTCTTAAACTTCCTTAAAATTCATCTTCGGTATGTTTTACATCTTAGTTCCATACTACAAAACCATAAATATCACCAAAGAGGGATAGATCTAGAAACTATAGGGGTCAGCCATGGCTATACCTGGAATTCGTAAATTTGAAACCTTATATTTACAATTTTTCAAATTTTGGACTTGTTTAAAACCTTTAACTTCCTTAAAACCCATCTAATTTATGTTTTACATCTTAGTTTCACACTATGAAAGCATAAATATCATCAAAGATGGACGGATCTAGAAACTATAGGGGTCAGCCATGGCTATAGCTGGAATTTGTAATTTTGAAACCTTACATTTACAATTTTTCGAATTTTGGACTTGTCTAAAACCTATAACTTCCTTAAAACCCATCTAATTTATGTTTTACATCTTAGTTTCACACTATGAAAGCATAAATATCATCAAAGATGGATGGATCTAGAAACTATAGGGGTCAGCCATGGCTATACCTGGAATTCGTAAATTTGAAACCTTATATTTACAATTTTTCAAATTTTGGACTTGTTTAAAACCTTTAACTTCCTTAAAACCCATCTAAATTATGTTTTACATCTTAGTTCCACACTATAAAACCATAAATATCATCATAGAGGGATGGATCTAGAAACTATAGGGGTCAGCTATAGTCATACACAAAATCCAGTTGTCAAAAATGTCTAATTTTTCGAAAAATCAACAATTTTTTTCTCAGCTCCTACTTCTTCCATGGCTTTGCATCTTTCAGGGTTACTAACCCTGCTATTGGGCACTTCACATGAATTTTTTCAACATCTTACAGTGTCTAATTGAAAAGTTAGAATCAAAACAGTAAGAAAATGGGTCACGAATTTGCCCCCTGGGGTACACACTTTGTACTGATATTCAAATTCTTTAGGAGTAATCAGCATCAATAATACTGCAAATTGTTCATATATATAATATCTATGTATGTCACTTACAAACATCAAAATATCTAAGGTTATTTAGTGTGAACAATTTTTTCCCCAGGGTGGGGTGTTTTTGGGGGGTGGGGGGCTAACTCCTCAAAAAAAAGAACTTCCTACCACTCTGCGAAGCTATCACCCAGGTGGAAATTTCATCCAAGACTCTCCCCTATCTGAAAATACTGCCAAACCAACTATACACCATTTATTGAGAATTTTCCTCCCCGCCCCTTGAGTAGTAGTAACAATCTTGATTTACTTCATAAATATTCCCCATAGACTACAAAATCACAAAAAGTGAAATATCTTTTCTTGTGTTGGGCAAATAATATTTTCTTTTACTGAACATACATTCGTTTGTATAATTATCAGACACATAAGGAGTATATGAGAATTGATCCATTTGATAATTGATAATATTCAAGTTTAAGGGAACTTTCTTATATGAGATTTTAGCCTTAGATGAAGTTCTCTCTTTAATAAGCAACAGTGAACTACATGACTTGTATTGAAAAGGGCAAGTAGCCCTGAGCAGTCATCAATTAATGGAATAGAAACAAAACATAAATACAGTTTACAGAAATGAGTTGAATTGATCATAGAATAGATTCTACAAATATGAACTGGTTAGAAACGAATTTGATATACATTTACTCTTTCATTTATTGCTGAGCAACTGTACCTTATAATTGCAGTTTATGTTACAAATATAAGTTTTCATTCAAATCAGACAACAGATGAACATTCGTACAGCCTTGAGTTTAAGGTAGTCCAACTAATATTTTACATGTAGGAATGCATAGTATCAGCATGCGTAATCAGGTCTTAGAGTTGTTCTACCATTACCCACCTTAATTCAATTTCCAGGGCCAGAAAGTACGAGGAATAATACTCACCAACCCTAACAACCCCCTGGGTGACATCTATGATGTTGAACAGTTATACAACTTCTTAGAGTTTGCCCATTCGTAAGTTTCAATCACAATTCAATCGCATTTCAATCAAGTTTAAATTATTTGATAAGATAACATTTTTACTGTTTTATCAATAATTGTTTTTTGTGTAGCATGATATTTTAAATATATAATGGAAATATTCTTGGTTCAGTGTAAATAATTGTCTGATTCATCTCATGTTTTCTTTATAGGAAAAAGCTTCATGTTATAATGGATGAGATCTTTGCATTGTCAGTGTTTGATGAACACAGCAAGTTCCACAGTCTACTCCGTCTACATCTCATGTTACTCCCAGACCCTTGGAGAATACACACTATATGGGGGTTCAGTAAGGTAAAAACACACTATATGGGGGTTCAGTAAGGTAAAAACACACTATATGGGGGTTCAGTAAGGTAAAAACACACTATATGGGGGTTCAGTAAGGTAAAAACACACTATATGGGGGTTCAGTAAGGTAAAAACACACTATATGGGGGTTTAGAAAGATGAATGCACATTGTAGCGGGATTTAATAAGACAAAGAATAGGGGATCAGTAAGATAAATACACACTATATTGGGGTTCAACAAGATAAAACACACTAAATGTTTCTTTAGACCATTTGAATTTTCTATAAATGCTATATACTGTATACTACAAGATAAAAGTGTATGAAATACATATTCAATCGTGATTTACATGTCATGTCTTATGAACAATTCTATTTTTATATTACCACCACAAGTGGTGGCATGTTTAGTCTTCAACTTTTTTGTGGATGGTGGTTGGTGTAACAAATGGCAGGTGGTGACACTTCTCAATGGCATACATGTGTATTTTGAGTCAATTTAAGCCTATCTCGGTCATTTTTCACTCTTCATGTCAATATGCCTCATATCTAATTTGTGTATATTTTTTACCATATGTAGCCATTGTTTATTTGAACTAAGAGTCATCATTTTTGCTCACCTTGTATTCATATATAAAGAGCATACTGTATGCCTCAATCCATCTATATTTTCTTTCCCACATGTATCTGTTCAATGATTCTTGTGTCACTTTATAAACCTATCCTTTACAATAAAACATGTCATATTACATTTTTGTAAATGCATTGTAAAGGTAAATCTTCATGAAAAATGTAATGTGTATATTGCAGGACCTTGGTCTCTCTGGTCTTAGATGTGGAGTCGTCCATACCAAGAACCCACAAATACAAACAGTCTTCAAATCCCTGACAAACTTTGGAGCAGTTCCCCCAGTAATTCAACACAAGCTCAATACACTACTCAGAGATAAAGGTGAGAATTGATAAAAAAAAGCACAGCATAATTTTCAAGTTCATGCAAAAATAGGATCAGTTTTACACACTTTGAAGTTTTCATAATTTGTAGAAAGGCATCATGAAATGTAAAAACATCTTCGGTGACTAAAATATGCAAAATACAGGACTCTCCCATGTTTCATAGGGAAGCATTTTTATAGCCTGAAAGTGACATATGCTACCATTACATCCAATGTATTGTAATGCCAAATTAAATTTCAACTTTAACTAGGTGAAACTACTGGAATTTGAACATTGCAATTTTTGGGGACTTTTAGGGTGTTGGCATTCCTTTACCATCCAGTAAGTAAAAGTGGTCATTAACTTTTTTTGAGTAGTACATGTAAACATGTATATTCCAAAATTATTTGTTTTAGATTGGTTGGACAAAACTTATCTACCCACTAATATAGACAGGTTAAGAAGCAACTATAAGATCATGACAGAAACCCTTGATAGCTTTAATATCTCATACAGACACAGCAAGGCAGGATTCTTTCTCTTTGCAGATTTCTCAAAGGTAAGGCTACATTTTCTGAAATTCTTTACAGTTAATGTCACCAAAAATAAAATTGAGTGGGTTGTAGATGCAGAAGAAATGTAAGATATCATACTTAGGATAGGAAATGCTTGTATTATTAAGAATGGAAATATAGATTCTCACATCTGCCCTCCTAGCATTGCTTGAGAGACTTATGAATAGTAGAGTATACATAGTGCTTGACAATGCATGCATGGTTAGTGTATGCAGTTGCATCATCAGAACATGTACATATTTGTAAATTTCAGTACCTCCATCCTCCCAGCAAAGAATCAGAGATGGATTTATTTGAGAGGTTTATAGATGGCGGTGTATACATGGTGCCTGGCTGTGCACATGGTTGGGACACATTTGGTTGGTTTAGAGTCGTATTCACATCAACATCAGATAAAGATATAATCATTGAAGGTAGTTTTATATATTGTATTGAAATACATAATGAAAATGATTTTACATGATTTTTGGTTACACAGAGCCTCAGAGATCAGTATGGCATTCAACCATTAAACTGTTCATTTATGAGGGTTCAGTTTATCCATTGGAGTTAGAGTAGTTAGCTTTATTTTATACATTGTATTCAGAGTATCAAAACAATTAAAGAGCTCCTCATTTGGTTGACTGTCAATATACATTCCCCCTGTTACTTTAAACATGCAATCTCAGTTTCTGGATACAATTCCACAGTCAAATGAAGACTGTAAATATTTATAATCTAAGTAAGCTGTTGAAACAACTATTTTGATTCGAAGAATAAATAAAAAAAGATAAACGATTGTTTAATTGTAAAAAAGTTAAATGATTGTTTTGTTTTGTATTTGATCCTTATAGGTGTAAAGAGAATCAATGATGTCCTCAACTCAATCCCAGACCAATTCACGACAGCATCGTCATCCAGTAACCATGGTAACAACAGAGTTGAAAGTGAGGCTAGTGTCAGTGGGGAACTCAAAGGTTAGTATATTCATGGTTGTACTTTTCGTTCTCAATTTTTATATCTCACCTTAGATTTAAAGATTAGAAAAATTAGAAATTAGAGGTTCTTTCTTGAACCTGAGCAAGATTTTTTATTCTTAATGAGCTGTAATTCTATAATTCTTCTTTATCAAGTCCAAAAGTCATATGAGAATGTCAGATTTTCTGTCCAATGAATTCAGGACTAAAAGAATTTCTTCAAAAAATCTTTTATTAGTCACTAGCAACTATTTTGGAACCTTGTATTTGTAGGAGATTGTTCTTTTAGTTTCAGCTTCACCACCAAATAAATATATGACGTTTATGGGTCATATAAAACATTAAATATATATTAAAACATTAAATGCTTTTGTAAACATCAAATATGAACTAGATCTAATCTTAAAATTACAACTATGAGGACCAATCAAAATAACTCAACGAGCATTTCACTTGTTGGCTGCTATTTTCTAACATGTGTTTTGGGCGTGTATATATAAGTAAACACATGGGTAAAAACACTTATGGGAGTATACTTGACAACAGACTAAGAGATATTTATAAGTATTAGTAGAATCACTGCTCTGTATTTTGTAAAAAATTATTTATTTTGATCATGAATATAAAACAGATCCAGACTGTAAGTTATTATTTCATTAAATTTGATAACCACATATTCAAGTATACTTTTATTAATACTGGTATAAATTTAATTATAAGTAATTAAGATCATATTAATTGCCTAATATGACCTGGTCTTGCCAGTTTAGTTAAGTTGTTGAGGTTCTTTGTTTCTCATAGTTAATCCTTTTCTGATATTATTTATTTGTTATACATGTACATGTACTTCTTCTAATAATGGTACACTGCCTATGGGAGCTGTGTATAACAGCTGCACATGGTAGCTGTGAATAACAGCTGCACAGCTCGTTTGTGGCTATTATGCTTTATTATTTTATGCAATATTACTAAAATCTTTATCCAAAATAAAATTACCTAAGATGTTAAGCAATGTGTCAGACACATAAAAAGTGACACATTTAATTTGACATTTGACTCTTATATTTCATAAATGCACCAGTTAACATGTTAGAGTGAATCATCCTCAAATCCACGTTTTAAGTTGGCACTGGCTGTGTTTTATAGATATCTCATATTCTTAGGGTGGTTGTGTGTCAGATGTCCTGTTATATTTCAGACTTGGGGATAGTGTACAAGTTAATAACATATTGTTAAGGTCTTCTTATTTTGTGGATGGTGTTTGGCATTTGGCAGAAAGTGTTTGGCAGTTGCCGGTCAGTGTTTGGTGTCTGTAACAAATATTGATCTAAATAGAACTTTTCTTGTGCTTTTTTATTTGTTTATGAATTCCATTATGTTTCGTTTACAATAATAATTGCGAAAGTTTTACATAAAATTAAGTATTCTTTATTCTATTTCAGGTGTTAAAAGGAAGACCCCAACCACTCCAGACACCACAGATGACTTTGACTTTATAATTCCACAGCCTCTAAGCAAAGGTAACAACATATTTGTTAATAAATTTACAATAGCACATGCTGTAAGTTAAGGTAACAACATATTTATTATATATAATTCCACAGCCTCTAAGTGAAGGTAACAACATATTTATTATATATAATTCCACAGCCTCTAAGCAAAGGTAACAACATATTTGTTAATAACTTTGGCACATGCTGTAAGTGAAGGTAACAACATATTTATATAATTCACAGGCACAAAGCAAAGGTAACAACATTTGTGTTAAGCAAAAGTCACCTAAGGGCTGTTGTCAGATATATGCATGTCACTGGTTAAATTCTGGTATGACATCCATTGAGGTGACTTACCTGGTCTATCTGGTATACTTGAATCCAAACCAGAAGAAAAATGCTCATATCTCTGTCAAAGTAGAAGTAATAAGTTCTACACATTTTTCAGAAAGTATGAATATCTACTGAGAAAAGTTAAACATGTGGTTGATGTTACCTCCGCACTCTTGGAAAGAAATTAAAATTTTCAGATTTTTACAGAAGGACACTCATTGAATTAAGGACAATCGAAATTTGTTATGTAAAATACTAGAAAACACAATGTTACTTTTTATTTATATCCACTAATTGATGTTTAAACTTTGTGACATTTTTGTTCCAGACTCAGGTCCTGAAGATCCACTCGAAGGCATGCTTAAAACACTCAAACAACAAATTACCACTTCTGGTTGGTTAGACAAAAATACTTCAGATCAATGGGAGGCAAGCAATCCAGACACTGCCAAAGCATTTAGAAAGGCAGCGGGTAAAGACAGTTCTTTTGAAAAGATGGAAACCAACTCAAATGACTCTAGTAATTCCAAGGAAAGTGTTAACACGTGAAAAGATAATTATGGAATATTTTTTTATTGTACATTTCTGTTGAATGAATATGTGAAGTCATTATTTGTACATATCTTACAGTGAACACTTCAGTGTCATGGAGGTTGATTTATCTCATTATCAATTGTTGCAACTTGTCCAAAAGTAAGTCCCATATGAAGTGTAGTGCTCATTATACTAAATGTTATGTCTCATTTACTTGGGAACAGTAAGTTAAATTCGGTTATGTGTACTTTGTATTTTTAAAAGATGGCATTGTTTTAGACTCCACTTTTGAATATAAGTTTTGATAAAATCATTTTAGGGAGGAAACATATATAAAGTGGTCAACTAGGTAAAACATTCCTATTGATAGGTCATCAGTTTTACACTTCTCATTATGAAATGATTGAAAATGATACAAACTACACATGCTCGATTCAGTGTTTTTATTCATGACACTCACATTATTTACATGTACATGTTTGTGAATAATTCTTTCTGTAAAAACTTCAACACTGCAATCCTACATTTAACATTTTGAAAATTTCTCTTTTTGAATATCTATTTTCTTACATTCAAATTCCAGTGTTATTTTATATTGCTATACGGCTGTAAATGTAAGTAGATGCTTCAGTTCATAGAGAACACTAGATATATACATAGGGTAAAGTAAAACAGGTGATAAAGGCTGATGATGAATGGAATTTATCATATTGACCAAATGACTAAATCCATACATATACAGTGTACATGTATGTATAACCAGCAGGGTACATCATTTGGTTGCTAACCAATGGATTTTACCAAGCACCAGGGATTGCAGCATATTAGGGGAAATACCATGGTAACCGGTCCACAAGTCCATAATTATTGACGTGAAGAACATGTTATGCATTCCTGCAATTGTGTAAAAAAATAGCAAAAGTAATGCTATGAAACTGAAAAAAAATTCATCAGTGGAATTAGAATAGACTTGAAAAACATTTTGTGCTTCTCTTTTTATTATTAATGAATATGAACTAATATGTAATTGATGGGTGGAAATACATTATTCGCTTGTGAACATTCAGTTCCCATTGTTCTCCAACTCTTAAAAGCAACCAAGTGCTGCATTTGGCTGAGAATTCAAAAATATGTTTTGCTGCTTTGATCATTTTGGTATTTGTTTACTTAAAATTGGCGAAATTGGTATTTTTCACCCAGCTGACATCAATCTCAAGGTCGTGACTAATACATGTATGTGCATGTACATAACTGTCAATAGTTTATTTTTTGTTGTTTATATGTATCATTCTGATGTTTAAATTATGAGGCTCATAGCTAATATGGCCAGTTATAGGTAAAAAGCTTAAATAGAGGGCGTCACCTAAAAATAAGGTATTTTAATGCATTAGTAGTGTAGTTTATATTGATACAAAAATATTGTGTCTTACTCTCCCTCCATACTCTTTGTACAACTTATAATTTCATATTCAATTTAAATGCTTCATTCTTAATTGTAAAAAGCTTTGAAATTGTTATATTTTAAGCCATTTTGAATTAATAATTATGTATATGATATTTATTAATGTAATCATCAAGTCAATTATGTGAAGTAAGATAGACTTGAGGTTTTATTTAAAGTTGATAGCCCATTATATTGGCTGTTGTATAAATTATATAAAAGAAATCATGTCATACATAACAGCATTACTTATTTAATTATCCCACTGAACAAGGTTTGTGAGGGATATAGAGAAGCCTTCTGTCCGACCACTTTTTGTTATGTATATATATAACTTTTATTGACATCTTGTATCATAACATGATAACATTAGTCATAACTATGAAAAACTAAATGTCTAAACTACAAATACTAACTAAAGCAAATATATACGAGATATACAAAAACCAAAAATAAAAGGTAGTATACATCATGATGAAAGGACAAGGTTACATTACAGTGTGGTGCACAAACGCACACATTCTGACTATAAATTCTTAAATGAATGATAAATGAATTTTCCAATGTGTCTTTGTAATGTTAAGTTTTTACTTGAAATGAGGTCGACAAATAAATTTTCAATATTGAGGTCAAGGTTACTTAGAATTTCAGGAGCCTTAGTTTACAATAATTGTGATTATGTTTTATGTGTGCCTGTATCTTATTAGTATAGGGCTCTGCTCAAGAAGGAATGTTGAATTCAGAATGGCCCCATTTACTTATATTAATGCACATATCAGTTTTGGTCCAAATTGTTTTAGGCTAATGCCTTATGGTCATAAGACCTGTACTTAAAAAAGGAATTCATGGCGTCACGTCACATCATGGGTTAGGTTAGGTGAAGATTTTGCCCAAAGGAGACAATACTACTCAACTTGTACCTGGTCATTTGTTTCATGGTTTCTTCAAAATGATGAGTGATTTGGTATGCTTTGTTCAGTGGGATTTGCTATTCTGTGGAGTTACTGTTTTTCTAGTAATGCTTAAAATGCCCCTAAAGTGGCTTCTATGTATCAAATGCTCTTAGAATAATAGTATTGAACTGTCATATAATGTAAGTGTACAAATGTACAAAAAAGTTTTAAAAAAGCAATATTAAAGGAGGAGTACATGTATATATATTGATGTAGGAATATTTTCTATAATACTATGAAACCTGTCTAAGTGAACACTGCTCTTATGAGCACCATTTGATGGAACTGCTCTATAGCGAACAGCTCTTGTGAACTCGCCTACCATGAATTTCTTTCTTTCAAATAATTCTAATAAACACTGAATACCTTTTTAGAAAACACCTCTCTTTGTTCCTATGAACATCTCTCTCTTAATTAACAGTGCTCTTTTGAATACCTATGTAAACCTATATAATAGATATCACTATGGAAAACACTTCTATTTAACTAAACCTAGGCCTTTGAATACGTAACTATAGAAACTTCTCTTGGGCTAAAGATTCACTTATTCACAGGTTTCATAGTATATGTTTGTAAATAAAGTAAAGGTATGTAACCTATAGTCTACTTATAGTGATCAACTTACATATAACACCATTTGTCCAATAATAGCCTTTCTTTATTCAATAATTGAAGGACTCAAGATAATTTGACTGACTAAAAATTTCTCTTAGGAATCAAAAATTAAGATATAAATTGCAAGAAGAGAGTTTTAATTTTAAGCCATTGACTATGAGAGATGTGCTTATGAAAGCTTTATTTAAATTCATCTGGTGTGACTTGGAATTTAGACTATTTATTCAACATGACCTTGGATTTTACCAACATCTTCGTTGAATAAATGCCTGGAACAAGGGTCCAATGATACATTAAAGCCTTGCACATAGTTTCAGGAATTCAAGATAAATTATTGAAAGGTGGGGGATGATTGGGACTGTGTGTTAGGCTATAGTCTTGCATCAAACCTTTGTATTGTGTAAAAATGAGAATGAGGGACTATGCAACACTAATTGAACCATTACAACTCTTGAATTAATTTTTGATATAATACATTATTATATCACTTTCATATTCCTAACTCTCTGATTGGTCCATGCCCTACATGTGACTAAAAAAATAACAAGGGACAGTCACGTGACTTCCATTGAATATCAAGTCCGACTTAATCAAGTGTAATTTTATTTTATATATACCTTGGGGTAAATTCTTATGATTTTATAGACATCAATAGTTTGTTATTCCACTAATGTAAATTAGGAATATAACAGTTAATAATAAAACAAATATTTAATTCTATTTTTGGTTAATACATGTGACACTTCACAAGATGATATTTCACAAGCCTGATGGAATGTCACTTGTGAAAGATGCACAGGTATTCATCTAAATAGATTTAAACATTTGTATAATATTCTTGTACAATTAAAAATAAGTTCATGATTTCTAAATTCATGATGAGATATTCTACATTTGTATATATTACTTGAACTGGTATACTGTATCTTGTATTATTGCCAATAAATGATCAGTGCAGAGTATGAAAAATAGTTTGTGTCATTTTTATGTTGTAGGGCATTGCCTGATTGATAACATAACACTCCTACACAAAAATATAACCTGAAAACACAGGTGGGGAATATATGTTAGATGCCTTAGGGGTCAGAAATTTGATCAAAAGTCACAAGATACAAACTAGAAAAAAACTACACCTAACAGTTGCAATTGTGCACATTGGACTAATTCACAAAGCAATTCCAAAAATGATATTTAAACAACTCATTTCAAAAGTTCATACAATTCACATATCTGCAAATGCTCTTCAGTCACGAAAAATTAAACCAGGAAGCACTCCCTGTTTTTTGTATTTTTTCCCCCAAAAGTTGTCACATTTTAGTGATGAGTGTGGTAGTGTATGGAAAATGAAATATTAGGGGCAGGAAATCTAGAATATAATTATTGGTAATAATCAATTTAAAAAATTGCCAAAGATGCCAATAATTGTTGGAGTTGAAATTGGCTCAATTGAAAAATGACTCAGATTTCTTGGACTTCCAAGTCAAGAGTGACAAGTTCCTCTGGACATTTACTAAAAAGTACCACTTGGGGGGGTTTACTCTAAATAATTTGGGTATGTGCAGCTTGACCAATTTTGGCTTTAGGCTTTAAACATGGAAACTGACCAATCTGAGAGGAAAAAAACATGGAAACTGTCAAAGGGAATAGCCTTTTTACCGTCAAAAATCCATTTTCCATTTCAATTTCCTCTCAAGATTGAAAGTTTACTTGTATACTTCCTCTCAAACTTATATTATAAAAGGGAGTAAATTTCCTGAAATATTGGTATATTTACTACAAAATCCACTTTTTGGGCGATTTGTCCCAGACCTTGCCAACTGATTTTATCGATTGATTAGCATTTTTTTGTAGAAAAACTGATTTTTGACTTAAAAACGGCTCTCTCTTTGACAACTTTTCCATGTTTTTTTCTTCTGAAGTTGGCCAGAGGCCTAATTCATGAAAGATCCACAAGCTTGCGTGTCCGTAGTGTATTTGCGGACCCATTGCGTGACCGCATTTTATTGCGTTGCGTGGTATTCATGAAGCTATCCGCAAATCCATTTAGGTGTCTGCATGTAATTTCCGTGTCCCCAATCTTTGTCCATGACGACCGTGTCATTTATTAGGGCAGGAATGTCAGTTTGACCCATTTCAGCTATAGTGTCCCTTGTTAATCATAACCTCGGAGTCGCATTTTTTATCAACAATGGCCATGATACCAGAATTTTTTCTTCTAAGTCATGGTTTTACCTCGGGGTTTTACCGGTTTTTACATCAACATTTTGTAGCGCATTGCATTAGTATGGTAGAGCCGGGCAAAGGAAAAATGGATCTAGTATCCTCTAGAAATTAAAGGGAGATGGTTCACATTTCCGAGAATATAATTACAACAATATACCTGCATTAAAGGGAAGTGATTGCGATCGTTTTATTTGATGCTTCATTCTTGCAGATTCTATCAATATGCGTTTTGATATATAACAATTTAATGCATACGATATCTTTCCAGTAATTCGTTTTTGTCAAAAATCTCTGGCAGATCTCTAAAGACACGTTTACATCTCACGTTTCTCCAATAACTTCGAGTAAATATTATTGATATTCACAATGACGATAATTATATTAAGGTTGTTGTGTATGTTCATAATTAATCTCCTATTACTGAATTTTCTCGTTTTTATGCATTTTACGAAGCAAATGTTCTCACCAGTCTTTTCTAGGTACATAAGTGCACTTTTTGTGCAAAACTGAAAATATAAACAATAGTGATGAAGGAGTGATTTCTAATTGAAAATTAGGAATAATTGAAACTTAAATCTTAAAAACATACTCTGAACAGGTTGCTTTTACATCCATATTTGAACGTCTATATCACATTCAATTTTTATTTTTTTATTGGGAAACTTACCTGATAAAAGGACAATATCAGGTTTACAAATGTACGTATTACCATCACTGAAAGGTAATGTTAAGTGTCTTTTAAAGAGGATTCATTACATTGAATTTTCAGAGAGTGACTTGCGGTAAGTACAGAGGTACCGCACGATAATGACGCAATTCTTGCGGTACCAAAAATATCTGCGGTGATGCTGACTTTGCGGTCCCTTTGTGAATTGGAAATAGCGGTACCGCAATGAGTTGCGGAATTGTGCAGGCTTGCGGAGCTTTCATGAATAAGGCCTCAGGTTCCATGGTTTATGCCCTTAGCCAAAATTGCCTGTGCTGAACATACCTAGTACCCAAATTGTTTAGAGTGAATCCCCCGGGCATGGAAACTTTCAATCTTAAAAGAAAAAATGCTCAAAAAGGGGGTCTTCGGCGCGGCACATACGTATTAAGAGGTATATAGGAGTGAAACCCCAGGAAGTACCACTGAAGTTACCAACAATAACAATAGCAACAAATCTTGGCTTTCTAAAACTATTTTAGAATATGAGAAGGAAAGAGACAATAATTTTGTTTAGTGAATCCGCGCCATAATTTATAGTGAAAAACGATATTAGTAAGCAAATGAGATGCGTTTGTTATTATTCTGGGCCAGAAAATATACGGGGAAATATACCATAAAGTCGTGCTTTTGTTTTCGCGCCAAAACTTTTCAAAACTTTTGCAATGCATTTCGGGAAGACTCTGAAAACTTTTCTGCGCAGTACAGATGCGCAGTATCGATTCCAGTCGCCATTTGCACATTTCGTTGCAGACAACTCCGAATATTTGCACAATTTTCAGAAGATCCCTGACGCTTTCGCCCACCAACCAAGCTGGATAAGATACCAGAGTACCTCATGGATTGGTTTTTGGGGTAAGTATCTCACGTAACTCCTCATCAGTTCTCATCTTTTTACTTTTTCTCACCAAACAAAAACATTTTCTTTTTCATCATCAAAATTTTATTCCTCGAAATCTTGTTTACATTTTTGTATTTCGTTTCTCATGTATCTAGAAGCATGTCATCACGATGTTTCTTGTATTATGACATATCTATAATTACAGTATTTTAAATATGCCAATAGATTGACTGAGTATGCTTGATATTTGAACTATTTGTTTGTGAAATGTGACCAGAAAGAATTTCCAGAAATGATGTAACTTGTATGCATAGATCTTATAGACAATTCCACAAATGGAAATTACGCACTGATTGTGATAATTGTGATATGGATCATAATTCATTACTTCACTCTATAGCTGTCACAGATTCTTAGTCTCCTACCCTTATTCTTCACACATTTAGGGATTTAAATCAGTTTCAAAATGTTTTCTGAATCGGCTTTAGCCAATGGGGTTCATGTAAAGCAACTGGGTCAAAGTTTTAAAATGTGAACTCCCTGAATCTTTTGAAAAGTGAATCTCCCCTCCTTCGCTTGGCAAAAGCTGGCTACGGGCATGTGAATGCCCCTCCGAAAGTTTTTAAATACTAATTTTTGAAAGTTCACTTACCTTCACATTTGTATTTTGTAGTAGTGATTTGTGGATCGAGTAGCTAAAGCTTCCTGTTACCGACCACCTTTCAGCTCTCTTTGGTAACTTTAGACTTGAGAATTTTCGTCAATCGGGAGCTCCGACATATCAACATCAAAATCGCATTCGACGCTAGCCTTATCATTACCAGTATATAAGTACTATAAGTACACCTGCAATCTTACCGGTCCGGGGTTAATAATTTGGTATATGTACTTGACAGTAATACCTGTCTAAAGTGAATGCTGATGTAATTGTTATCTTAAATAATCTGTGTATGTAGATTTATAAATACTGTACATTAGAGCCTTACATTTCATTAGAGTAAGTCAATAAGACATCCAAGATTACAAGACAGTAAAAAAAGGTTCACATTAAAACTTCACTGGAGAAAGAGATTATGAAGGTTAGTTGTAATTGTTGTAAGCAGGCCTTGTTGCTAGATAGTTACATCACGCGGTACTAACTTTGACCGTCTATTTGAATATTTGATCTACTTGATGTTTGAAAATCAAGGATTGCGAGTCTCATACTGCCCCGTTTTTCTTCAAATTTGTTCCATTCAAAGCATAACAAAAATGCTTTTCTGTTGGTACATTATTCTGTTATACAGAGCCCCTACTTTCAGCGGCATTTGGGTCAATAAATAATAATGCAATGTACCAACAGAAAGGCAATTTTGTTTTGCTTTGAATAGGACAAATTTGAAGAAAAATGGTTTAGTATGAAACTCGCAATCCTTGATTTTCAAACATCTGATAGGTCAAAAATTCAAATTAACGGTCGAAGTTAGTACCGCATGTCCATATATTAAACATTTTAGTTTGAAGGTTAATGAGTAAAAATATTGTCCAATTCATCTATTGATCTTTGTTGGTTTCTTGTGTTATCTGCTTAAGGAACTGTTTACTAACAAATAGGGAATCTTATGACGCAATACACAGTAATATATTGTAATGCAAAACCTACAGCTGAGCCATACATCAGTTAGTAATCTCCCTCGCAATGCAGTGTACTAGATTATTCTAGATAAGTCAGGGTTCGGTAGTACCCTGATTGAGAGTTCAGATCTAAACTAATCTCTGAATATGATACGGTAATTTTACAGTTTAGTAACCCTCCCTACCCCCCCCCCCCCCAACTGCCATTGGCCATCATATCCTTTGACATAAATCAATTACATAACATGCTAGTCGGCAAGCAGAGAGTAGACATGAAGCTATCTTTTAAGAAGCTAAGTCGAACAGATCCGAACAGATCCATGGGTAGATAGGAGTGACCTTACATAAGACATCTTTATTTTGATGTTCATATTTTATTCTTTTTTATTATCCTCATTGTGATGTTTTTGAATCTTATCTCAGGCCATTTTTTAGTATGTTGTCTTGACTTTTGCACAAATCATACATATTGTAATGTATCAATTTCGTATAAAGGTTAGCAGCGTAATTTGATGAATCTAAAAAAATGTGATTAGTTATGAGATGATTTTAAATCTCATAATCTCACATTTAGCTGATATAATATTTCTACACGACTTTCAACCATAATCTGCGCTAAGGTATGTTAGTATGCAATCAATCTTATGTGGCTAAAAGTAAACCTCTATAAAGATTAATGCTCTGACAAAATCCAGGAGTTTCTTACCTAGGAGATTTGCAGGTAGAATGCAAAAGTGCAATAGTGATCAAGCTGAAAATCTCAAAGATAGCTATACCAAAAATAACCTTGGTATGAATAAATGTTAGAAAATGTTGTGAGATTTGGTGTTCTTTTACAGGTAGAAGCACTAACCTGTTCCTTGAAAGGTGTGTAAAAAATCAATCAAGAAAAAAACAACAGAAAATATATATTGTCATGATATTATATCTTGAATAGACTAAATATAGATTACTTAGTGGTGGTAGAAGGGCTTAAGTAGAACATATAAATAAAACTTTTTGAAGTGGAAATTATATTAACAAAATGCTAACAACCTTCAAATATTCAATGACCTCTTCTGAATCCTTGGTTCTGATAACATAAAATACAAACAAATTCCAGAAAATTCTAATTTTGGAACGAGGAGGTCTTCTGATATGCAAACAAATTCTTTGAGAGTATACCCTGATATCAAGAAGCTAGTAGTAAAAATCAAGCCTCTGAAGAGAATATATAATTTTTTAATGCTGATCATATCTTTATAACCTCGTCATATTGTACATCTTATGGTTATAACCTCATTATACTGTATAATTATATTATGGTTATAACCTCATCATATTATACATATTATGGTTATAACCTCATCGTATTGTATATATTATGGTTATAACTTCATCGTATTATACATATTATGGTTATAACCTCATTGTATTGTACATATTATGGTTTTGTACATATTACATATTATGGTATTGTACATATTTTGTACAATTGAGAATTTCATCATGTGTATTTAATGTTTCAACAGATGTTTTTATAACTGCTTATTAAACCAGGTCAGAACATTTTTATTGTTATTTTATCATTTACTGATTAGATATTACAGATGTTTCTAGACAAAGGAAATAGTTCTAAAATTTAAATATATCACTTGGCGGCGTTGGCGCTTCTATTTGACCTGGTTTAACACACAAGTTCGATTTCAATAATTTTATTTTATTCTATATTTTAAAAGTGAGTTTCGTCTACTTATGTACGCTCTGACTCCAACAGGGTATCATTTGAGAGTCCTGGCATCAGAATTCAGTTCTTGGTAAAACAAAGGGAGTTTTGTATAACTGGAATATTATAACAGTTTAACCATAAAACTTATTTTCAGTAATTCCTTGTTATTTAATATAGTTAGGTTTTGCTCCCCATGTGATCTTGACTCTACAAAATCAAGGCTATAAATAAATATTTCTTATCATAGGTAATACAGAGGTAATCCGGAATCCCCATAAGCTATCCACACTGGATAAAGGTCGAGCTCTTGTTAAATAAATGGATTCTTTAATAACTTTAATAACAGTATAAGAACCCATTTATTTAGCATTATATCCCATTCAGTACATGTGAGTACAGTTGTATTACCAACCTTTATATATAAATATTATTTATTTCATATAGTAAGAAATAATTTCTTTCAAAAATCAATTTGAAGGTCAAGTTTATATTACTCCTTATTACATAAAGCCCATTTATTGCTAGTTATTGATGTATTGTACCTCAATGTTGTGTGAAAACATTGGAATATTTGGACAATTCAATTTCCTGGTGTTGATTCCTTTCAAATAGGATCATAGATTATTCTTAGGACTTATATTTCTTGAGATTAACCTCGTATGATTTCTAGGGTCCTTTAAACACCACCTGCTGAAAATTAGATGTAAACAGTAACACTTTTCTCAAGTGGGTGCATAATTCTCATTTTAACAATTCAGACCAAAATTGGTCAAAATATGTCCATTTTACATGATTTTCTCATTTTCAAGTGGGTGCAAATAGAATATCAGGTGGGTGCAAGTCTGTTGTTAAAATCTCAGATGGGTGCTGCACCCACTTGCTTTAATGCTTGGGAGATCACTGAGGAATCATATGTTAGAATAGAGAGAAATAGAGAAATAAAAGGTCAAGAAGTTAGGAATCAGACTTTAAATATTGCTGTTATGAGTCTAGTTTATAAAAATGTCAGGTAATGGTGTTTGGTCGTATTTTTGTAGAGAATATCTTGGAATCAACTTGACTCAAAAGGGATGTTTCATCAATAGCTCTTGTTTTCTATGAATGTAACCTTGTTCATGAATGACACTAATTTTATATTGGTTGCTCTACATGCCATACTGTGATAATACTATTTACTTTTGCTAGCTAATAATTGCTCTATTTCTAATCCGTTCAATATTTCAGAGTTTCAAAAATATTTGTTTCTTGCTCATAAAAATGAAATGCTGTATCTTATAGGGTCTAAATAATAAATGTTCTTATACAGATGTAAACATTTTATGTGGTACTAGCAATTCCGGGACATTCTTAGATCACATTTTATTTGCATGATAACTGGTTATATATCATAGAGTTCTGAGAGTCAAATTGCTTTGTTTCCTGAGAAAATGAGATCTTACTTGTTTCAATACTATTGGGATATTGATGGCATGAAATGATAGCATGTGATCACTGTATGATTGTGCTCATTACCAAACCTTACATCCAAACATGTCTTTGCTAATTAGTAAAAGAAAAAAAACAAGGCATTAAATACCATAAATAGAAATATTGATCATTTTTTCAAAGGAGTGAATTTTGTGGAAAGTTTAAAGATATTTTTGTCATGTTTCACCTTTGTCAACTTTGAAATATATGTGGACATATATTAAA